ATAGAATTTCTTTTACTTATTAGTAATAGTTAATAATTAGTTAAGAAAGTTAGAGATAGTAATAATATTAGTGCAATATAGTATAGCATAAATATATAGATTATTAGAGATAGCATTATTATTTAATAATAGTTTATATTAAGAAGAGAGAGAAGTAGATAGAGTTATTCTACTTTTCTTTAATATTACTATAATAAGATCTAGAATATCTCTAACGACCTCTTATAACGTATTAGTAGTAGCTATACTCTGCTTATATGCAATTTTAGCTACTAAAAGATATTAAAATACTTAACTCTATTAAAATATTGCTTAACTCTGCTATAATATTACTTAACTCTACTATAATATTGCTTAACTCTGTTAAAATATTACTTAACTCTGCTATAATATTACTTAACTCTACTATAATATTGCTTAACTCTGCTATAATATCGCTTAACTCTTAGGTGTATATAAGCTAGCTTAGCACTATTATTAACCTAATATTAGAAATCTTAATATATATAGTACTAGATAAAGGCGCAGAAACTCTAGACTTAATAGATATTAGTAATATAAGAGAAGATAAACTAAAAGAAATATATAAGAAAGGCTATACCTTCTTAAACTAGGCCTTAGTATAGTAAGTCTAAGTTTAGATCTTATATAAAGCTATAGATAATATAGAATAGAAATAGTTTAGAGATAAAGTAGATAATCTATAAGACTTTTAACTATAGAATAGTTAAAAGTAAAAAGAGTAGAGAAGAGAAAAGAATAAAAAGTAGTGTATTAGTATATAAAAAAAACAGGCCTAATAGATAGAAGAGAAAGTTACTATAGAGTTTAGAAATTATTTTTATAAGAATTATAAGTTTTATTTTATATATTATAAGAGGTAAAGAGAAAAAGAAAAAAGATATAAGAAAAAGCTATACTATTAAGCTTAATAATATGTAGAAAGATTAAAAAGAACCTAGTAAAAAGGCTATAGAATACTATTACTAACTACTACTTAGGCTACTACTACTACTACTACTAGAGCTCTCTTAAGAGTAGCTATTAGAGCTACTATAACTATGCTTATCTAAAGAACTACTAGAACTATTAATATTGCTATAATAAGATATCTAAGTATCTCTAGAACTACTAGAAGTAGAAAGATAAGAAGAATTACTAGAGCTTTACTAATAATAGTCTACTAGAAATCTAGTAGATAGCTAGTAACTAAGCTACTAAAGAGACTTATTCTAAAAAGCTACTACTTCTTAAGTAGTAGAACTAGTTCTACCTTAAGCAGCTTTAGTAATAGTATCTAGTAAAAATATAGTAGACTAAGTAAAGCTTTTTATACTACTGCTATTACTAGCATCTTTAAGACTATAAGAAGAAGATTCTACTAAAGAAGAGCGTATAGCTAAGCTTAATAGAGAATTAGAAAGTGCGCTATAAAGAGAAGACTACCTAAGAGAAGAAAGTTAACTATAAGAAAAATTATAAAAAAGAGAGCTTATTACTATAAGTAAACTAAGATCTAAAAGAGCTATTAGAGAACTTAGAGATTCTAAACTAGACTTAATAATATAGCTAGACTAAATTAACTTATAAGCTAATACGTACTCTACTAAAGAAAGATCTAAAACTATAGAGTAGCTATCTTCTAATATCTAACTCTAGTAGATAGCTAATCTCTCTAGTATATTAGAGCTAGAATAAAGCATGCTATAATAATAAAGAATAAGTAAATTTGCTAGAAATACTATAAATAGAGTATATAGAATTTAGAGCATTAGATAGAAAGTTCTAGTAATATAGCGCGCATCTAGATTTAAAATTTATAATCTTAGAAGTAGAGCTAACTTAAGTAGCTTAACTAGTAGTAATAGCATAGATAAGCTCTAGAAAAGAAAAAAGTTAGTAAAAGCTATCTCTAATAAATTATTAGATCTATAAAAGAAATAATTACTCTAATTTATAATCTAGTAACCTAGGTAGCAATCTAAAAGTATTAACTAATTATTAGTGCTAGTAAATTAAGTATACTATTTATTATTATATAAGTAGTAGTTATAAGCGCAGTTATTATTATTAATATTACTTTAATAGAAGAAGTATATAGCACTATTAGCATAGCAGAGTAGTAAAGTAGCTAGATAAGTGCTATTAAGGCTAATAATACTACTACTCTTAATACTATAATTAATAGTATAATAGTAAAACTACTTAAAGTCTTACTAAGTAGAAAATGCTAAGAGAGCTTAGCTTTTAAGAATATAAGAGTAATCTCTATAGTAAAGCATAATAAAAGAAAGTTAGCATATTATTATTAGAATCTCTATAAGTAATTAAGTAAGAGTAATTAGTATTAGTTAGAGTATTATTATGCTAGTATAGGTAAGCGCACCTAATATTATTAAGAAACTAAGAAAGAATCTAGCCTTACTTAAGTAAATTAGCTAGAATAGCAGTAATATTATTAGTAAGATTAGCGCTAAGAAGCTAATTAAGAAAGTAGATAACTATAAAAATATTAGTTAACTTAATTCTAATAAAAGAAAGAAAAAAAGACTTACTAGCTTTAGGCACTACGTAAACTATAGGTAGAGTATACTTCTTAGTTAGTAATACTAAAAGCTAAGAACTTTAGCTACTAGAAGAAAGCTTCTTACTACTGCTACTACTACTAAATTCTTAACTACTATAGCTAGAGTAGGTAGAAGTAGACTTATAGAAGTAGTTAATATAAGCTATAATTCTAATAGTATATAGAAAGATACTAAAAGAAAGAAGAGAACTAGAGAAGAAGATAGTAAAGTAAGAAGTATAAAGAATAGAGAATATAGTAGAAGCTTAGTATTTTATAGTTCTAAGAAGCGTTTATAGCAGCTTAGTATACTACTTATTAACTAACTTTACCTTATAGCTGCATTACTATCTATGTTATAAGTAAGAGAAAACCTTAATACTAAGTCTGCTAAACGCCTATTAGGCTTAGTTTAGTATTAGAGCTACTATAAGACTTATTAAGATAAATAGAATAAATGCATCTAATATATTTCTTTCTAGACCTAAGCTTACTTATGCGAAGTTATAGAGTAAATAGAGTATTCTAGCTCTTAGATCTATAAACTTAAGGCAGATATTAGAGTATAATAAGTATCTTTCTAAGGTAAGCTTCTATTATAGTATATAGAAAGAATAGAGACGTTAGTAAAGACTTATAAGATAACTAGAAAGGCTTATACTATTATATATATAGGTTCTTTATATAAATTAATCTAAGTCTTACTTAGGCGCATCTAGTAGAAGCTAAGAGAATTCTTACTTTAATTAGAAAGGTAGCTTAGGTTCTTTATTCTTAGATTTACTCTATAGGCTCTATTAACTATTAGAGAGGCTTATAGAAAGTTTACTATTATTATAAAGAAAGAGGCGTTAGGCAGAGTATATTCTACGTTATCTTAGCAATTAGCTTAGTAGTTATCTATAGTTATCTCTAATAGAAGCTAATAGCAAAGACGTTAGGCAAAGTATAGTCTATATTACCTTAGTAATTAGCTTAGTAGTTATAACTATAGTTATCTCTAATAGAAGCTAATAGCAAAGGCGTTAGGCAGAGTATAGTCTGCGTTATCTTAGCAATTAAACTTAGAGATAGTAATCTGCTATATTAGATTTAATAGATTAGAGTTTATTAAGTCTAGTCTTATGCTAATATTAAGCTTATAGAAGCGTAAAAGCAAAGAGAAGATTATAGAAGAATAGTAATCTGCTATATTAGATTTAATAGATTAGAGTTTATTAGGCTTAGTCTTATACTAGCAATAAGCTTATAGAAATATAGAAGCAAATAGCAAACTATAGAAATAAGCTTAAGAGAGCTAAGCTCTTATAGATAGAGAAGATATATAGTAGAGCAACGTGCGTTAGCGTAGAGCCTAAGCCTAATAAGATATTAGACGAAGTATAAAAGTAGAAGAAAGTAGTTTAGAGGTTAATAACTTAATTAACTACTTTTGCATTAAGCACAACCTACTATAATAATAGTCTCTTCTTTACCTAATTAATAGAAAAGATATATATAAAAAGATAACTCTATATAAACATAATAGTAAGAGTACTATATTATAATACAATAGACTTATTTTAAAGTATAAGAGCAGAGTTAGATTTACTATTCTAGAAAGTGCTAAGAAGTAGAACCTCTAACGTTAAGCTTATTTAGGCATAATTTAGGCTCTTCTTATTATATTCTCTTAGCTAGGTCTATTCTATTATATTCTCTTATCTAGATTAGTAGTCTATATAGCTTTATTTTTATAACTTTAAAGAATGCTAATATTAATATATATCTTAATATGCATTATAACGCACTAATATTGCATAAAAATTCTAAATAGTATAATTAATAGCATAGACTGCGCTGCATCTATAGCTTACGTTATATTAAAATATATAATAATTTAGACTTTTATTCTATACTTCTACGTAGTTTATAAAATAAACTCTTAAGGATTTAGAGTTTCTTGTAAAATAAAGCTTATACTAACCTTTGTTCCGTTGCCTATTAAAGATAGAGCCTAATATTATAGCTAATTAACTAGAATACGTAGCTTATAAGAAGAACTTCTAAGCTAAGAGAGTATATTAAATAGCAGGTATTAGAGTAATAGAGAAGGCAATTACCTTGCTAAGAAAAGCATAGAGACTTCTACTAGAATATAAATAAGATAGCTAGCAACTTAATTAGAACAAACATACACGAGATAATATATATAAGTATTAATTTAATTAACCTAATACATCGTTCTATCTGATAACTGTTGTAAGATATAGATTAGGCCTATTCTATCGTATCCTCTTGTCTAGGATATGCTCGCCTTACCCCCGAATCTTCTCCGCATACTTAGATCCTATATCCCCTGCGAAGTTCTTCAGTGACCCAGAGCCCATAATCTCCAAAACGCTCATCGTGAGTCCGAACACCTGCTTGATCCACCGCCGCAGTTCTATCGCCATTAACGAATCGAGCCCGATCTGCGTCCAGTGTCCGGTCCAGTATCCATCTCTTCCTCGTCATGCGGTTTGAGCATCAGGTCGTAGATCTTCTTGCCCAATTCGACGGCAAGGAAATCCACTCCCTCCCCGCGTAGGAGGCTCTCATCCCCCAGTTCGCGCACCCGTTCTAGGAAAGCCTGCAGCGCACTTGTCTTCGAGCCGCTCTTGCTGTCTCCAGTGCTCTCCGACTCGCGCGCCCGTTGGTTGCGATACAGGCCCATGCGACGATTGTGGCGCCAAGTGGCGCGGTTCTGCGGGTCGGCCAGGTCCTGCTCCGAGCGCAATCCCATCAGGACTTGAGAACGGTTCAACCAAGGCTTTGGAGGGATGGCCGTTGGACCGGTCTTCCCGTCAGCGGATGGAACACTCTCGATGAGATTGAGCTCCAAGAAGTCGAGGAACTCGCGCTCCCGCAAGGTGTAGATTCCTTGCGCCTTCAAGTTCTTTTTGGCTTGTGGGTTCTCGGCGACGAATCCAACACACCTCGACGGGCGAGATGTTCAGCACCGATGCGGGCAGTTCAAGGGAATGTCGGAATTGGCAGAAAGCCTCGAGGAACGTCCCCGTAGCAAGGTAGTTGGCCTGGCCGGGCGTGTCCGCAGCTGTCAGGATGGAGCTCGCTAGCCAAAAGAAATCCAGAGGCTGGTCCTTCAACACATTATGGAGATTCCACGTCCCCTTCACCTTGGGGCCGTTGACATCGACCCAATCCGAGTATGTCATCTCCAAGAGTGGCGCATCCTACCGCCATGTTAGTGAAATGAAATCGTTGGGGTCATTTTGGGTCATTTCGCAAACTCACCTTCAGCACCATGGCTAGCTGGAAGACGCCCTTGATCACCTTCTTCGTACTGTCAATGGCCTGAGCAATATCATCGGCATTTTCGACGCTTCCCGCCACCAAGTGGGCGGTACATCCCATCTGACCAAGCTCATGTGAGAGACTCTGACTCTCTTCATCCTTGCCGGCGTGTCGGGAAAGTATGATCAAATCGGTGGCCCCATGCTCGACCAACCAAGTGGCCATGGATCGACCCAAACCACCTGCACCTCCGACGATGAGATAAGCTGCCGCGGAGTCCAGGGTCAAGGTTGAAGATGGAAGCTCTTTCTTCAATTCAAACGGGTGATAACGGCCAATGCACACTTGACCGTCAATGACCACGAACTCCTTGTCTGCATGGAGGCTTGCCTCGTCTTTGGTGGTCCGAATCTTCTGCAAGACACCATAGACTAGTTCATCGAACCGGCTCTCGTTGGTATCGATCTCCATGGTGAATAGCGGAAGGGACAGCTCTGTCCGCACCGTTCGAGCGACGCCGAGCGTCTGCGCAGACCGCGGGTCCTTGCACCGCACCTGGAATGGCGGACACAGCCATAGAACCTTCTCGGCATCGACGTGTCGGATCAGGGCCTGGAATGCGGCCAGTCGATCAGCCGTCAGGTCTTCGCCGAAAAAGTCGCTCTCCAATCCAACGGTAGCGATGATGTCCTGGCCTTTGAGAGGCATCTTCTCCCCCAGCCGGCACTTCTCAACCTGCAAGCCACAGTCCTGCAGATACAACTGGAGTCGCGTTACAATGTCCGCGTTTGCATTTTGGTACAGCAAGGTTATTGCTCGGGCGATCTCTGGCACCTGGTTCTTTCGCGCAGGCTGAGAGATGATCGTGGCCGCAAGCCGGTAGGAAGGTACTTCCTGGTCCGGCACAAAGGCGTCGACACCGGTGAAGCCGGCCGCCTTCAGGTCAATATCCCACCTCTGCGGCTGGACATAGGGCTCCCAGTCTCGGCCATCAGCCTCACCTAGCCACCATCCGACGAAATTGCCAAAAATGTAGTTGGGCGACTGAATGAGGGAGCACAGTTCGGACAAGATGAGAAATCCATCAGGCTTCAGCAGCGCTTCCAGGTTTGATAGCGTTTCCTTCAAGGATGCTGTCGCGTGAACAACATTAGGGGCGAGGATGATGTCGTAGGACGAGGCTTCGAAGCCCTGAGCAATACCGTCTTGGGAAATGTCGAAAGTCTTGAATTCCATGTTAGGCGCATAGGCAAACCGTTCTTTGCCTTGCGGAAAGAAGCCCGCAGAAAGATCGGTAAAGGTATAAACGGAGTAGGGAGGAAGGCTACTCTCTTCAATCAAACCGCGAAGGGTTTGTTCGGTTGTTCCGCCTGTCCCTGCACCAACTTCAAGGATGCGAAGGTTGGGTCGGTTGTTGGAGAGCAGTCGGACAAAGTCGCCGTATCCAAAACTCACCGAGTCGTAAAGCGCGGAGAGAATGTCATCTTGCATTAGCAACTCCAAAGTGTCGGCTTCACCAGTGAAGATCTTGTCTGCGTGCTCGCAGATGCGCTTGATGCCGACCGAGTAAGCGTGCAAGCCAGGAAGAGCCATTACCTTCGCGTATGTTTCTTCAATGAGTTTATGCCTTTCAGCGCGAGGCAGTCCGACCCATTCTCTGGCCTGTTCGACAAGGGTGTACTCTCCAGCAGCCGCCCTGCGCGCCTGAAGCGCGAGCCACTCACGGTATTTGGCCAGGTGTGGGTGGCAGGGCGGGACGTTAGCCACCTTATCCTTCGACTCAAGCACACAGAGCAGAATTAGTTGCTCTTCGAGTTCTATCTCCAGCAACGGACGTTGGGGCTTATCGAATAGGCCTCTGGGGTCTACAAAGTCGAAGTCTGGAAGCCACTGCAAGCGGGCGCCAGCATGAACATCAACCACATCCGCCGCCTCCGCCCCCAAAGGAGCCAGCTGCACTTCTGACATTTGCAAGGCTACCTTTCCGTCCTCGGTCAGGCACTCTACGCCTTGGGTGAAGTCGTGTGCCCAGGCCCTCAGGTTAGCCGCACCGCTGAAGACCTTGACATTCCCAACCACGACTGGTACCTCAAGCTGGTCAAGGTTGCGGCACAAGCCTCGAGCAGCTGCGACAATCAGCAGTTGGATACACGCATCGATGGCCGTAGGATGTAGCGCAAATGGTGTCTTGTTCTCCAGCGGTGCGGGGCTCACAACATGAGCTTCTGCCAGCGAGTCTGTCGCGGAGGACGTGATATCCACGAGACGCTGGAACTCCGGCCCGAATACTACCCCGACCCGCGCCATCGCTTCGTAAAATCGCATGGAGGTGAGCTTTCGAGGCAGTTTACTAAGTGTGGCAATCTGGGGCAGTACCTGAGTCTGACTCTCGGACAGCGGTGATACTTGGCCAGTACAATGAATCAACCAGGAATCGCCATTACATGAAGCAATGGAGAAGTTGTACCAGGATTCGCTCTCTGCTGCACCACCTGGGTGCGCATGCAATACGGTCAACAATTCCGTCGCATTGGAGTCGGTTAACACGAGGGCCTTGCACGGGCTTCGACGTTCCGCAGATGGTAGCCCGTTTCAACCCTTGTAGTCTGTCGAATGGCTTCTCCAGCCATGGAAATGTATCCAGCTAGAGGGAAGACGACATCGTGACCAATCTTATGGTCTATGATCCAGGGCACGTCTTCGAGACTAAGCATGTTCCGCCATATTGGTGAGAAATCGGGTGAGTCGACTGTCCGCTCACCGAGAAGAGCATGATGGGGAAACGGGCGCTGGCGCCAGGCGCTTGACAGGCGGCTTTCATACCAGTATGATCCGCTGTGGTCCCAAGGGTAGACGGGCAGTCCACTTAGGGCTTGTCTGTCCTCTGAAAAGAGAGCCTTGACATCAATGGGCAAAGCCTCCTGATACATTTTACCAACAGCAGAGAGGAAGGATGTGGTACTGTCTTGGTTCCGGATCTGGCTTGCGATGTAATTAAAGGGTTTCGACAGCTTCGAACAGATGTCGCGAAGGGGTCCAGCAAGTGTGGAATGAGGACCGACTTCCAGGAAAACGTTGCTACCGCTTGTCTTCAAGTTAGTTACAGCAGAGTCAAATAGGACTGGAGAGGTCAGATTGTCCACCCAGTATTGCGGGCCGAAAGAAGTAGGATCGTCCACGCGTTTGCATGTGACACTTGAGATGAATGTAGCCTTGTCTTCAGAACGCGGGGTGCCAAAGTTGTTCTCAGCCTGGAGCAGCTCCAGGTATTCTTTGCCAAGAGGCTTCATGTGGTCTGCAAAGATGTCAGTGGATCGAGAATACATAGAAGAGTGTCTTTGACCTACGAGAATGGTACGCCATCTCAACTTTGAGGAGACGAGCAAAGACATCTGGCTTTGCTTCCTTCAAGCCGGCAATGACCTCCTTCAGAGCTTCCTTATCGCCGGAGATGGTCGTGCTGCTCGGACTGTTTTCGCAAGCAACACACACACCAGCACGCAGGAATGACTGCACATCGGCAGCAGGTAGTCCGATAGCTGCCATAGCTCCAATAGAGCGATCCCCGTCCTTGGTGACATATCCGCGATAGTACGCTGCCGCAAGAGCATACTCGAGCGTGATGTACCCGGCGGCGTACGCGGCCGCGATCTCGCCGCTCGAGTGACCGACAACTGCCGCGGGTTTGACACCGAGTCGCATGAGCATGTGAAAAAGAGCTACTTGCAATGCCGTACAAAGCGGTTGGGCCATCTCGGCCCGGTCGATCTGGCTGGTCTCGGCTGGTTTCTGAAGCTCATCTGGTTGATCACAGTTAGTCAGGAGCTGTAGCCCAGTTCAAACCATGAACATACCAAGTATCGACCAGGAGGGAGGTTTGTTGAATTTCTGCAGGATTTCATCCATGGAGACCAAGTCTTGTCTGAAGCTCGCCTCAGTCTCGATAAGATTCTTCCCCATTCCTGCCCACTGGGCACCCTGGCCGCTGAAGATCATTGTAATGGTCGGAGGCCCCGTGGGAGCCTTGGACAGAGCGGATGTTTCGAGCTCCCCATTGTTCCAAATGGCAAATGCCCGCTGAGAAAGCCGTTCTCGGTGGATGGCGAGAGTATATGCGAGGTCGGGAATGGAATCTGGGTGGTTACGGGCATAGCTTCTGTACAAATCAACCTGCTCTTTAAGTGACTTTTGGGTATTGGCTGAATATAGGAGCAGCTGCGGGCTTTTAGCCGCCAGGGATTGGCCAGCACGGCTGGCCCTCTGAGCAACATATCCACGTGAAAGGTGCTGGGCCACCGATTCAATGATCACCTGCGATAGTCAGAGTTATGATCTTCAAGAGTTGAACAAATCATTTACATGAGCATTAGAGCCGCCGATACCGAATGAATTGACGCTGATCCTTTCTGCCTTGTCCAAGGGGAAGGGAGTGGGTTGTATGGGGACAGCGAGCTTCTTCTCGGCGAATGGAACTAGGAACGGTCAGATCACTATTCTCAGCAGAGTACTGGTCGACTGACTCTTGGGATTAGGATTTTTGAACTTGATGTTTGGCGGTATCGTTTTATGCTCCAAGGCAAGAACCGATTTGATCAGGCTCGTGATGCCGGAGCAGCCTTCAGAGTGCCCAACATTCGGCTTCACAGAGCCAATAAACACGCCCCGCTCACCGAAGACGTTACCAACCGCAGTTGTCTCTATGGGATCTCCTGTTGCAGTGCCAGTGCCGTGGCACTTCGATGCGTTAGTCAGCTGCTTTTGTTTCTTGAACCTTAGAACATACCTCGACGAAGGCTGTCTCATCCGGACTCAGCCCGGCCTGCTCATAAACATGGCGCATGAGCGCTTCATGCGCCTCGGCGTTGGGGCTCATGATTCCCATGCTCTTGCCGTCGCTGTTGGTGCCTGTGTTCCGAATGACAGCGCGTATCGGGTTCCCATCCCGGATAGCATCATCAAGCCGTTTGACGTAAATTGCTGTGATGCCTTCCGCTCGAGCGAAACCGTCGGCCGAAGCATCGAACGTCTTGCAGGAAGCTCCTGGGGATAGGATGCCTTCACCGAAGAAATTTGACGTCAGCGTCGGTGCTAGAATCAAACTCGTTCCGCCGACAATTGCGCCTGTTATGTCCCTCGCCTGTAGGGCACGGCAGGCCTCATGGAGGGCGACAAGCGACGCTGAGCACGCTGTCTTGATCACCACACTGTAGGTAGTCAGCGCGCAAGTCGAAGGAGCAAAGAAGGAGACAAAAAGGCACTCAACCAAGGGAGTGAAAAGAGATAGGACTAGGTTACCTTGGTCCTCGCAAGTCATATTCGTATGATACCCGATTGGCGAGAATCATGTCACTATAGCCAAGCACATTATAGCTTCGACTATGCTGCGGTTCCCGAAGACTCATCTCCATCCAGTCGTGACCAAAGTTTCCGATATAGCAACCAACGTTTCGACCACGATACTTCGTCTCTCCCGCGTCTTCGAGACACTCTCGAGAGACTTCCAATAGCTGACGTTGTTGCGGATCAGCTTTCTCGAGCTCAGTCTTGGTCATGGAAAAGAAAGAAGCATCCAGACTGGACAAATCTTCATCCAGGAAGTAACCATGGGAAGCCTTGATGGGGTCTCTACCGTCAAGGGAGCCGTTGAAACCAGAGATGTTGTAACGGCTGGCAGGAATGGGCATCCGAGCATCTCGGCCATTGACCAGAAGATCCCAGAAAGAGTCCCCATCCCGAATGCCTCCTGGGAGGCGTAATCCTAGCCCACAGATTGCAATTGGCTCGGTTCCGTTTACAATGTCGCGTTCAGAGTCCGAGGACTCAAAAGGACCAGAGTCAACAGGCGAAGTATCCCGAGTTGAGGGAACCCCATTTGGTAATGACGAGGTTTCTGCCAGTGGAATCGACATCGTATCTTTCAGATAGAGGAAAAGTAGAGATAGCAGTTGAAAATGAGCTGTACTTGATTTCAAAATTTGAAGCTCTGAAGACTAGTGTTTTCAGTGGTGAATGGTCCCTCTATATATATGTTAAATTGCACCTAGACCTGATATCGAGAAGTGCGTTCTCTCTTCAACACTGGATTGCATCTCTTCCTCTTAGAACGTACTGCACCAATGGTCGGCCCTTTGCGTCTCTTCCTCTTGGACCGTACTACACCAATGGTCGGCCCTAAGTTAGTGTTCACGTTGCAGAGTATGACCCGCGACGAGATGAAAGCTCCACAGGAAAAGCAAGGGCAAGCAAGGATAAACAAGGACAAGCAATTGGACTTAGCTCTTGGAGTGGGGTTGAATGCATCCCCATGTCGTGATAGGCACTGTGGACCCTGGCATTCATCTGTCGGGAAATATAGTGCAAACATTATCTGCACGAGTACTAAGTGAGATGCAGCTCGTGTATGCAACAACGGGCGCCTGACAGCTCTGCATCCGCCTCTGCATTTGCAGCTCTAGCAGCATCGAGAATGGTGCAGCATATCGACAACAGTCTACGCAGCTCACAGCCGAGGCATACCTCGGAACGAGCACATACGTACGCAAGGATCTCGGGAAAGCTTCCTTGACTGTGTCTTTGCAACGAGGCATTGCAGTTGCATCCTTGTTCAATACCTCGGGAGCGCCGAAACTCCACACTGAAACAGTTCCGTAGCGCTCGGTTAGTATTCACTTATATCGCTATGGTCCAATTGTATGGTGAAAAATCGATACGTTCACGTCCATGCATCAAAATCAAATCATGTCAGCACTTCGATCTATGCCGAGATCTGAGTCACATCGGTGTCAGACTCTGACGATTGAGCGAAGGCAAGCACGAGGTCGGCTTTACAAAGGCACCGCAACAGGGGCACCATGACAGCGGTAGCCCACGCAGTTAGCAGCACACGCAACGAACGCTAGATAATCTATATGAGCAAAATAATGTCTCGGATATCCCTGCGACGCATGCAGCCTCTCTGCGTAAATGATAGTAGCGTCCGCTTTCATTGAAGCCTTACAGACACTCTCCTTCCACTGCCGTAGCTTAGACAGCTAAGACATATCAGAATCTCGACATAGATCGGACATTTTTCCGCATAGCCTCAAGTTTTGATCCAACACGACCAACCTCAATCAAGACGTCCTTAGGAGCCGCTAACATGTATCTTTGACTGGTATTCATGGATCCTCGATTTCCCCCACCCCTTGACGCGCTACAGCAGCATCTTTGGCAATACTTCGGACCGGATAGGTACATCTCTTCGGCGCCGAGAGAAAGTGCGTAAGTGAGCGATTAGCTCAGTAGTCCATCATATCCCTGGCACGTACGGTGGGCCCTGACCCTCCGTGTAACGTTGGCAGACCGGTACGCATTGGTCGTGGAGGGAAGTGCTCGAGAGAGTGACGTGACCGTGTATTTCATCCTATGCTTGCTTTGTGCGGTGGGCCCAGATCCGGCGTGTGACGTTGGCGTAGGCTTTGATTGCGGAGTATATCAGCAGAGCTCTCCTCATCTCTGCCATCTATGATCTTCGCACCCACGTTTTACGAGATTTCTCCATCCTGATAGATCCTGATTTACCAGCACTTCTATATTGATCTCATCGCTCAACATGACTGTCAACGGAACCGACGGTAGTGCCGATGGCTGCCAGTACGTTGTCGCAGGCATCGACATGAGTGATCTTTTCCCCGCCCCGTTTCCCAACGATGTGAAGACGGTCCACCTCGAGACTCTCTCGTTGGCCAAGCTTCTTCAAAATGATGAGGGAGAGCTCCGTCGTATCTACGAGAACTGCAAGGACCCAGGGTTCTTCCAGCTTGACCTCACCGACGATGACCGCGGCATTCAACTCCTGCGTGATTCGGTGGACTGCGCGCGGTTGGTCAGACAACTGGGTCCCAACATGAGCATCGAGGAGAAAAAGACTTACAAGCAGCACGACCGCGTGGGACCCTTCAGCAAGGGGTATGGGCTCGGTTACCATGGTTTCTCGCGAGCTAACGTGAAGCAGGTACCAGGTCTACGACATCCTGCCGAACGGACAGCCCAAGTACAATGAGACGCTCAATGTATGCAGTCCCATTTCTTCTTCACAGAATTTTTTGACGGTTTCTCACTCTTCGATTCTAGTTTGACATGACGGAGGTGCTTGGCTACAGTAAAGAGCCCACCGAGCTCCCGTCCTGGCTTCGCCCGTACAAGGAGCTGGTCGCACGGACCATGCGTAGCGGCAATACGATTGCCAATATTTGTCTCAAGGCACTGGAAGTGGGACTGCAGCTCCCGCGCGGTGCCCTCACCGACGCGCACCGCATTGAGGATCCGTCGGATGACTTCCTTCGCCTCCTGCGCTATCCAGGCGCCCAGCCCGACCAGCCACGCGACGACCTTACCTTCCCTGCGCATAAAGATTTCACTTCGATCGGCCTCTTGTTCACCTGGCTGGGGGGTCTCCAGCTCCCTGCTTTGGGTGCTACCCCCGGCGCCAAGTCGAGCCCCATGACCGGGCCGCTGGACATCCCGGAGGATCAGTGGCGCTGGGTCAAGCCAGTGCCAGGAACGGCCATCGTTAATGTGGGATCCCAGCTGGAGTTTTTGACCAACAAGGCCCTGACGGCGGGGTTGCATCGCGTGGTTCGTGCTCCTGGTGAACAAAATAATTTCGACCGGTACAGCGTGCTAGTGCAAACGCGCTGGGCCAACAGGCTCCCCATGAAGCCGTTGCAAAGTCCGCAGATCTCATCTGTATTGGACGAAGCAGCAACTCAGATCGCGACCATGACCGGCGGTGAGTGGAGTTCGCAGGGTGTGGGGAGCTTCAGCAAGTGGGTGACCGACCGCACACAGCGTAAAGAAGTTCTGATCGTTCAGTGATTGGGTCTCTCTCCTGAGAGTCTCCGCCAATCGGATTCACTATGTGTATGTATCTAGCTAGGTCCAGAAATATCAATGGATAGCGTCCACTCGTTTCCGGGTGTACACACGGTTGCACTAGTAATTCGCGCTTAAAATTGTGAAATGACTCATCTGGAATGTCCATTTATGCCGAGATTGACTGAGGTCGATCAAAGAGGTAATTACATCACATTCAACACGGTGCGAGATCCAGCCGTTGCGCAAACGGCGATTGTGCAAGTTGCCGCATCACAATCAGGTTCTACGCTTGTAATTGTCGGATATAGATGCCTTCTGAAGTAAGAGACAGGGTTCTACGCTAAGACTGTGCCTTCAAGGAATTTCGAGAGGCATTGGGTGGTTCAATCGGTACTTTCACGATTAAGTTCGCCAATGAAAACAGGGCTAAGCTTTTCGCAAACTTGCTTGTTTCAGGCTTACATATGCCGAGTACGGGCCGTCACGTTGTTGCCGCCCGGCAAACCTTCTTTGTAGATCGGCGGAGATCTGGACAGCATGACCATATACTTGTAACCAACCTTCCTTTTTTTAGCCTCCGCTACCCCGGTCTACCCCCTTCCCGCCTCCAGGATACGTGCATAGAAGCGAAGTCCGGGGCCCGAGCTTAACTCCGGGCAGGTTGCAGAAAGTAGGGAAAAAACATGATTGAACGCTCCGTTTAACTCCGGATAGGTTGCATAAGTTGCCAAAACACAGGATTGAAAGCCCCGTCCTCCTTCCGTTCTCAGCTCTGAGCCCAAACTTGAGCCTTCCCATCTTTCCTCCATCCAATCTTGTTGATCTCCGTTCCCCCTAGCAGAATACTCAACTCGCGACGACAAGGCCATGGCTTCAAAGAATTCGGACAAGATCGTTCTTGTCACCGGAGCCAACCAAGGTCTAGGCCTCGCTGTCATTGAAGTCGCCGGTAAACGCTATACCTCCAACACGTACATACTTTGCGCGCGAGATATCAAGAAGGGCCAGCAAGCAATCCAAGAGCTCCGTGAACGCGGGGTCAGCGCCGCCATTGACGTGGTAGAGCTGGACGTGACCGACGACGACAAGATCGCCACCGCAGTCAAATATGTGGACGCGCAGTACGGACGGCTCGATGGTAAGCATACGATCCGCCCTCGTTTTGGGTTCAACCGAGAAGTAGCCAGAGACAACGCGAGGCTAACGAAAGGCGGTTGCGCCCTACGACGGTAGTTCTCGTCAATAACGCAGGTTTCGTCAAGCTCGGCCACCAGGACAGGGACCTCTCGGCCATACGTGCCACGTACAACGAGTACATGAATGTGCATATTACATCGGTGGCTGTGGTCACGCACGCATTCACCCCGTTGTTGCACCGGTCAGCCATGCCCAAGGTCATCAATATCACATCCGGACTAGGAAGCATCACCAACGTCCTGTCGGCACGCAAGATGGCACGCGTCCCGCCATATGGAGCCAGTAAGGTAGGGATGAACGGGCTGACGGCGCACTTGCAGGTCGGCGAGAACGAGCGGGTGGCGGCGGGTGCGTCCAAACCACCACGGATCCGCTTCTTTATCTCCAACCCGGGGTTACTGAAGACGGCCTTCTCCAATTACATTTCGTTCGGAAAGGAGCCACAAGCGGGCGCGGAAAGTATAGTGCAGCTGATGGGCGATGAGGAAGGCCAATTTGATCACGCCATGCAATGGGAGCATGAGGAGGGACAGATGCGTGTTGTGCCGTGGTGATTCCTGCGCACAGTGAGATAGGTACTTTTCTATGTAGTCGGGCCGTTCCGGGCGAATATATCCTATTGTATGCCCTGGCATGAAGTACATACCGCAGTTGTTCCCCTATAGATCGAGCCAAGTACCTAGCACATCAAGCGATGGGCACTATACATGCCAGATTAGGCATACGTCATTCCGGCTGTGCATGCCCATCACTGTTAGTACGAAGGGCCGGCCCTATGGCGTCGGTTAGGGAGGGTGAAGATAAGCTTTCGGTCCGATCGCGACTAGATCGGGTCTAGCGCTGCGCTTGGCCAGCGGGTTGCGCGGGTAGAGTATTAAGCCTTCTTGGCGGTTTTGGCGGTGTTCTTCATCCCTGTGCCCCACGTTTTCCCCAAAAGCCTCATGGTACTATCTCTTTACTGCAGGTTAGGCTTAGCGACACGTGTTTGAGCCCGTGAAATGGGGCGACACCTGCAGCATGAGGCTAAGTGGCACGCTTCGGACCGTGTGCGATGGCCTGACACCTGCAGCAAATACGTCAGGGGGTTGCAGCAGTGAAAGGGGTTATGATAGCCATGCAGTCCAGCGTTGACCACGGGCCAATGTTGTATCTGTATGGTATACAGGCTTTAGCGATTCTATGCGTAAGAATGCTGCACCTCGCTTAACCTACAAAGATAGGATTTGCAGAAAGTGTAAGAGGATAAAAAAGAAGTCTTTAGCAACTCCTAGGTGTCACCCTTATGCTTATAGTGGAGACGAGAGGATAGATCTGCCCCTGTTTTCGACATTGGTATGTCGTGGCTCCATGCTTGTTGTCCAAAAATCACGCATGGTCGTCGGGCTGTTATCAGCCGCTCATATCCCGGTCGATACGAGAGTAAGAAGAAGAAGAATCAGATCGGTCAAAGCTCTCGTCCAATGATTAAGCCAATCCTCTATTTGACTCAAGTTTGCACTATTTGTGCGTCAAAGGAAATTGTATATAAGGCGCTTGTTTGGAATCGATATTCCGGCAACACGATCGTTTTGTAGTTTGTTTACCAGAGATTCACTTTAACAATTCGATTGAACTGCTCCACAATGCAATGTGCAACGTTGGCCTCACTGGCGATATTCCTTGCAGGTACGGCAGCTGCTGCTGGTTCCTTGCCCCAGCGCTCGTCCTGTGAAATTTCTAAAGCCAACATTGGGCTATCTCAGGACTCGACAATATTCTTCCCCAACAGCTCGGGATGGGCGAACCAAACCCTCCGTTGGACTGAGTTCATGGCTCCTACTTATTCTGTTTCGGTCCGACCAACCCGAGTTTCGGACGTGCAGGCTCTGGTAATTCCAACCTTTGGTTGTCCCCTAATCATTACTGATAGTGTACAGGTCAGGTTTGCTACCCGCTGTAACGTTCCATTCCTCGCGAGCTCCGCTCAGCATGGGTTCAACACTGGACTTGCCGAGCTGCAGAACGGGATGGAAATTGACTTGTCACTCTTCCGAAACGTCTCAGTAGATGCTCATGAGAATACCGTGACTGTTGGCGGCGGTATTCGCTTCATGGACTTGTTCGATCCAGTCTTCAATGCGGGAAAGCAGATTAGTATGCCCCACAAAACAAGCGCGCTGAAGGAACTCACCAAACTAACCTCAAGTAGGCACTGGATCAGGGGCCTGTGTCGGCATGATCTCTCCTACGTTAGGTGGCGGGGTCGGGCGTCTCAGCGGTATTCATGGTACACTCTCCGATCAATTGCTGAGTGTCCAAATGGTGACCGCCAACGGCAGTCTGGTCGTCGCGTCCCAAAAAGAAAACCCCGACTTGTTTTGGGCCCTGCGGGGTGCCGGCGGTAACTTTGGCATTGTGGTGGAGGCTGTGTACCAGGTCAAAGATCTGACTTCGAAATACGTTGTCAACCTTGACTATGCCTTCTCCGCGAATGACACTGGCACGATCATCGACTACCTGGCTTCATTCGGTCCGAACATGCCCGCAAAGCTGTCGTTTATCGTTGGAGCCCTCTATAATGAGAAGCTATACGGTGGGGTAAGTGACCCCTGATTGCGTTGATACATGCCGCGAACGATAGGGAACTAACTGTACCCCCTCTCTTTTCTAGTTCGCTGTTATCGTCAACGGTCTGTATCTCGGCCCACAGAGTGAGGCCGAACATTTTCTGGCCCCACTTCTCGAGAAAGCTACTCCTTTCAAGCAAAATGTCAGCATGGTGCCTGAGAACAAACTAGTCTACGCCGCTACCTTTGGCTCGCAGGGTAACTCCACCATCGCTTGCTCGGGAAAGGGAGTCGACCGCAGCATCTTCGGCGGAGCCATCAATACGTACGACAAGGCCACGTACATTGGCTTCATCAATGCCTTCAAGAGCCTTACGACTACTAATGCTGACCTCCGAGGCAGCATATTCTTTATCGAGCATTTCAGTAACTATCAGGTTCAAAAGATCCCGGACTCTACCTCAGCTTACCCTTGGCGCGACATCACTGCACATCTGTATGTGTTTCCCGATACCCCAGTTCAAGCGTGACGTGGCCACTGACTAAGCCTTCCTAGTCTCTTCAATTACGCCTGGAATGACCCCGAAAGCGAGCAGGTTGTCGACCAGTTCGGCAAACAGTGGCGCGCAGCGTTTCAAAAGACAGCGGGACTGAACCCTCCGCAACTTTACGTCAACTACGGACACGGAGACGAAGGCAATGAGATACTGTACTCGGCCAGAAAGCTGCCCAGGTTGCGTGCTCTCAAGAAACAGTGGGACCCTAACAATGCGTTCCGATTCCATCATCCCATCTCGATGTTCTAGGTCAGAACAGTGCCATACCGTAGACTGGGTGATTGGGGAGACTCAATGCCCCTTCTGATATGGTAGACAGTTCTAATCCCGATGAGCGTTTCCAGAGCCATGTCTCAGACTCAGAGACAGTTTTTAATCCTCTATTTCCTTTCAACTACTAAGAAAGTTAGACGCGAATACTACCCCTGTTGCCTCATCATCTGCGTGGCCTTCACCGGTTGTTCATCACAATGTTCTTTAATTCCCAATCACGAACTCGGGTGGTAGTGGAGCTCATGCAGCGGTGACAAGTTGCGGAATTACTATGTAAAGTTAGTCTAGAGACCCGCTTGCGTGGCTTCTTGGTCCGGCCTCCGGAACAACTTTCTGGAGAGTGACATGCCTTACTGGATCTAGCATGAGCTAATTTCGGGAGAGGTAGTGCATGATTCGCGGCGGAAACTATGAAACGAACGTCCAGTTAGTGCTCGCGTTGTCCCAGCGCGGGGGTTCGGAAATTATCTCTCTAATTAGTAGTTCCTAAGAAATACGGGGGCCATTATGCAGCATGCAAATTGACATCTGTCTAACTCACTCTTATAGGCTGGTCCAAAGAGAGTATGCTGCGCTTTTTATTGTTTGGTTTCGTCTCCCTAAGAAAGACTAGCGTCTCCTAGCCCCCATGAAGGTGCGCAGTCTTCGAGGAAAGTCCGCCCCCTTGCGAAATTGTTTGCAGCTATATAAAGGGACCGTTCCAGTGATAGTAGAAGTCCTCGACAGCTCAACAAGATGGCTGTGGCGATATCTGACCGGCGCACGCCATCCGTGAGGTAAGTTGGACTTTTCCAAAGAAGCAGATCCCTTCTCTGAGTCTTTTGAGTGTTAATTGATCCCGCTCATAACAGCACAAGAGCCTATCTATCGGTAATGGGAGGGTTTTGCGCACTGTTGTGTACTGTTGGCTTTGTCGTTGCCTTTGGCGTCTTCCAAGGATATTACACCGAACACTTGCTTCAAGGAAACAGCGATTTCGACGTATCGTGGATTGGATCGGCCGCAATCTTCTTATTGTACGTATCCGCGCCCATCTGTGGCGTTCTTGTCGATAAGTTTGGGCCCAAGGTATTCACTATCGGCCTCCGAAGCTTGAATCATTTTTCATGACTGGTCATAGGTTCTGCTCATCGCCGGATCCGTTGGAGTGCTCGTAGCGATCTTCATGATTTCACTCTGCTCCCAATACTACCAGGTCTTCCTGGCTCATGGCGTGCTTCTGGGGATTAGTATGGGTTTTGTCACTTGGCCTCCTATGGCGGTGGTTTCACGCAATCTACCACACCATCGTGGCCTCGCCTTGGGGGTGGTCACCGGAGGTTCTTCTGTGGGAGGAATAGTCTGGTCGATCATGATTGAGCAGCTGCTGAACAAGCGAAACTTCGGATTCCCATGGACAGTTCGCGTGGTGGGGTTTACGATGCTGCCCCTTTTGGTCTTTGCATGCAGTACGATTACTGAACCACCCAAACAACTCGAAACCCAACCCAGACCGGGTCTGGAGCCCACAGCAGAAAGTAGTCCAGCCTCCCCATCCCTGAAGCCAAAGGATGCGTCCCGCTTGTTGATCCGGAGTCCCGTCTTTATCTCTCTCTGCGTTGGCTTCGGCCTCGCCTTCCTGGGCCTTTTCAGCCCCTTCTTTTACATCCCTTCGTATGCAGCAAGTCATGGTGCGTCGGCACAGACGTCCTTTTACATGATCTCCATCATGAACGCAGCCACCCTCTTTGGTCGTGTGATCCCCGGCGCTGTGGCGGACCGTGTGGGCCACTACAACGTGATGGTCTTCCTCTTGCTTTTTTCGGGAATCATCTCATTCTGCTGGACCGCCGTCCACACCCTGGCAGGACTTGTCATCTGGTCGATTGCATATGGGTTTTCTTCTGGGGTAGGTCTTCCAACAGCCACACTCTCTGCTCCGACTAGCAGGCGATTCATCAGTGCTAATCGCCACAAATTTGAAGGCTGTTCTAAGTTTGCAGCCCGCCTGCGCAGGGAAAATTGCGACTCTACAGGATCAAGGTAGGGCAATCGGCTTCTTGCAGGGTTCGTTGGCTGTAACGTATGTGGATGTACCTTACAGAAGACGATACATATCTAATTTGTTCCTCAATGTAGGGTCTTGGTCGGCTCACCCATCGGCGGTCAACTACTGGGCCACTATGGATATCTGGCGCTGTCGATATTTACAGGCGCTACGCTGGTGGCGGGGGCAGTGAGTATAGGCTATGCAAGAAAATGTCTAGACTCAAGGGTCATCGCAGCCGTCTAATTTTAGTCGTGGGGAGGCCCTCTTTATTCTCCATGTTCAGAGTGCGCGGAGATTGCGGTACCGTGTAGAGACCTCCTCGCGAGTGTTGCAGCGATGCATGAAAGCCTATGAAAGCAGAAAAGCTAGTTTGAAGGACGCCTTACCAGAAAATGAATATATTCACTCTTCCTTGCCAGAAATTAATACCGTTACGCGATAATCGCTTCAATCAGTCGTGCAGCAATCTGATTACTAAAAGAAAAAGATATAAAACAGAGCGCATAGGCAGAAAAGGGCGTAGATCCTTAACTTAATTATAAGAAGATAGTAGTTGCTAAGAATAAGCGGACTCTAGAAGATATTTTAGTAGTGTTGGTGAGTGTACGGCCTGTGAGTTTGCCATCAAGTAGGCCGCGGTTGTTGAGGGCAAACATGCTGCTTCGCACACTGGCAAGATCCAACCGAGCAGAACATATGCATGTCCTTGAAGATAGGACGCTTTATATGTACTGCTACACGTTCCTTTCGTCTCAGTTGCTTCGGCTATGAGACGGCAGTCAATTGTTTTGCAAATCGTGCTCATCACATGTCCACCGTTTCGTATCAACTGCACCGGGCTTGTCTCCGTCACTACACTATTGCTGTCGTTGTGATGTTAGTTACTTGAAGGGCGTCATGCTATTTGTTGGCGTAAGAAGCCGATATACTGACTTCTGTGCTAGCCTCACGGGAATAGAGTGATCGAGACGTGTGGTGCAAACAGGTGACATCAAGCGCGACAGGCGCTAATCTGTGATGTCCGGTCGGGGATGCAGAGTACTGCAGAAATTATAAGTAAAAAAGTTCGACTGTTGCACATACCAAACAAGGTTGCGCAACTTGCGCTTCAGAGAGATGCGCATGCGGATATCTATGCGGATGTTACCGGTGTTTTGATCTAATTGTCTTACTTGTTTGGCACCCAATGAGGTTTTCCGATCGATATACACAATGCCAGGATGATGTTGGCCTGCTTTCTCGGCTCAACTGGTTCATCGCTGTTAGCATTGCCATACATGCCATTGTCTCGTGCGACTAAACCACGGTTACAGGTCACCGATAGCGCTGAGTTTCTCGCACGTCAGTACATTCGAAGTCGATTAGGAATGCGCTCCTCATACGTTTTGAATGCGGCAGATGCTGGAGTATCGAAAGTTCATTGAAATAAAGCTAAGACCGGGGTATCATTCGCAAAGTTATCCGAACGCCTGTAACGATAAAGTGTGTCGCGCAAAGCTCAATCAGAATCGTACTGTACCAGCGGCACGGTGTTGGACATCCCTGTCGCCGGTACATCTCTCGACGTAACCGCATCATCGGCTGGGTCCCGCTTCCTCTTAAGGGCGCTGAACGTCGGTGTCTGCTTCGACTTTGCGCTGTTTCTGCGCGTCAAGAAAGGATCGATAGCAGCCTTGGTATTGCCGACCAAGGCTTGCTGCAATGCTTGTCGATTCTTCTCTGCCGTGATTACAGACTTTGAACTTGTGAACCGTGTGACTAACGCACTTGTCTCTTTCGTTTTGGTGTTGTCAAAAAGAGGTTTCCACGCGCTCCTTTCCAGCTCACCCGCATCAGGACCGCCGAACTCAATGTTGCGCGCTCGCATGCGATCTGCCTCGGTCTCATCCACAATATCAAGGCCGAGACTGAACTTGTCTTGCATGCCTGCCTTGTGTCTGTCCTCTCTCTTCCACACCTTCCTCTTCTCCCGGAAACCTTTGCGCAAGCGCGCGTTGTTGTCGTAAGGGTCTTTCCAGACCTCACTCTGGTCATACAGCTCTTCCACGCGCTCCCTGTTTTTCTTCTCCGAGACTTTGTCTTCCATCTTCCCCTCAAGGTTTGCGAACGCATCATCCCGCCGCCGCGCCTTTTCCTCCTCTGTCAAGAACTTCAGGTCGCCCTGACCTTCCGCGCCGCTGTCTTCCGGCCCATAGTCCCTTTTCTTCGCACCCTCGACGACAACGTATGCGGCGTTCTTCGGGTCGGTCCTGATCTCCCACCACCCGCCGCACGCGCTGTGCTTCATCCGGAAACTCCATATCGGCGTGCTGTAGTAGTTGCCGACTTTCTTCTTCTCGGCATTGAAGCGGACGCCTTGACCAACGATGGCAGGAGGGATGCAGTGGTCGCACCATACCGCGAAGGGCAGCTCGAAGCGCACGGTGAGGATGCCTTGGGATATCTTGTTCGCTCGTTTGCCGAGTGGATGCGACGACGCGTTAAATGTGGGTGGATTTGAAGCGTCGGGCGGGTAGTACCGCCCCATGTTGAAGCCCTGCATGCTGGGCGAGCTGGTGCAAATCGAGGGGCGGCGTGCGCGCGGTGAGCGTTGTGTCTGCCACTATCATCAGATCAAGCTTTCTTCGTTGCGGAACCTCGGTACCATTACCCAGTGTGCTGACTAATCGAGACTCAACACCAGAAACCTATCGCGGTATCGCCTCACCCGCAAAGCTTGCAGCTTCACGAAACATAGCGGCCCAGTCGCCCAAGACGTCGCCAATTGTAGCGTCTGCGCACCAACCAGTTCAAATCAATACAATTACGTATCTGATATGACGAGCGGCGTTTTAGCCCTGCGCGGAAGGAGTGACACGCAGTTCGGACTAGGCCCGGACTTGCACATTACCCGTTCAGGATGAGATGCGCTTTAAGCAAGTGCATAGTTGAGATGCAAGTCAGAATCAGCAACCGCCCTTCCGTATTACGGGAAGCCCGAGCCCGAGCCCGCCCCAACCCTGTTGCGCCCTGAAAAGCCACAAGTATGCAGGGCAAAACTTGTCATGCAGGTAAGAGTAAGCCAACTTAGACGATGCAGCGGCTTAAGCCACGTAGGCAAATACTCGCTCATTGCATCTGCAGGCTTCTGGTCATGCGGAAGTATTTCGAGCGTCCCGTCACCCAAAAATACTGCAGGAATGTAGGCACCCCGAGAAATCTCCCAAAGTTTTCCATCTTGTCTTCCCAATAACACACCGTCTCAGAAAAGGTATTTGTAAATTGAAGTACATTTCAGCACATCTATACCAACTACGTACCACGGTACTCTTACCTCAATCAAAACATATTCTTTGGTCATTATGACGAATTCGTCGCCTGCTCAGCTTCTTGCTGAGATCGAAGCCCTTGCAGCAAATCCACCGCAGGAGCTCTTGAATGATGCAGAGTTGCGAATCAAGATGTACAATGCTTGCAACGCAGCTCGATTCGCATTAGAACGACCGACTGAAGTTGTCGTGCAAGTGCTTCTCTCAAGGGTATGGCGATAGCTACTCGATACCCAAATCAGGCTGACCTGTAGAAGTCGGTTGAAAGCGCCTTACTGAGCACCGCTCTGAACATGGAGCTTTTCCCACTCCTTGGAAAGGGCGATGGCGAGCCTAAGACCCTGGCTTCTTTGAGCACAGCTACTGGTGCCAATCAGACGTTACTTAGTATGTCCAGACAATACTTCAAAATTTCACTCACTGATCAATAAAACAGAACGTGTCCTCCGCGTGTTAGTTGCCAGCGGCGCGGTCCGCGAGCACGGCAATGACACTTACACTCTGCCTGCCAATTATTCGCTCTTCGCCGACCCAGCGTTCAACAACTCTGTCCGTAACTGGTAAGAACTTCATGCTTAGACCTTTGACTACCTCGCACCTAATGACGCACTCAGCGCATCATTCATGGAACCAACACTGCGGGAGATCCCAGGCTACTTGAAGGCTACAGGCTATCAAAACCCAATAGACCCCAAAGACACTGTCATACAAAAGGCCTTCCAACAAGACGGCTTGACCTTGTTTGAGATTTTGAGTGACAAGCCAGCCGCAGCCCAAGGCCTTGGGGTCTTGCTGAACACCTGGGCCGATGGACATGAGTTTCTTCAGCAAATGTATCCTGTACAAGAGAGGCTCGTCGATTCCTTTGATGCAAGCATCGGCCCGGTGCTCTTCGTTGATGTCGGCGGAGCAACTGGCCAGAAGGCAATCGCTCTCAAAGACAGCCTTGCTCATGTTCCTGGGAAGATCATCGTCCAGGATCTCCCAGTGTATGTCAAACAAGCACCGACTGTGGATGGGGTGGAATTCATGGTCCATGACTTCTATACCGAACAACCGATAAAAAGTAAGCTCACCTCCCATTATTTTGAATCCGACTAACTCTCTGCAAGATGCGAAGGCCTACTACATTCGTCAATGTCTTCATAATCACCCCGACGAGGCGTGCGTCGAGATCTTGAGTCGCCTGCGAGAGGCTTGCAAGCCAGGATACTCCAAGGTCCTCATCCACGAGCAGTTGGTTCCAGAGGTCGGTGCCAGTGCTGAATCCTGCGTCGAAGACATCACTATGATGGCGATGTGTGGAGTGGGAGAACGGACGGAGAAGGAATGGACTCACATCATCGAGAAAGCCGGATTGAAGCTACTGGCAGTGTATTCTTCCAAGGATGGAGTGTCGGAGAGCGTCATTGAGACTGGTGTTGACAAATGATGTGCCGTGGGCGACGACACAGTCTACTATTGAAATAGTGATATAGATCATGTTTGGCGTCATTTGATAGAAAAGCAACTGCCACGTTGAAACTAGTCCTCATCTTCAACGCGACTAACTAACTTTCCATGGTGTGAGACAAAGCCATCCCGTAACCGATGCCCCCGTCGAACATGGCTGGGTTTTTTGAACGTAACCAGTCCGATAAGGACATTCAATGCGGATGCAAAAGTTGGGAAAATACTTCGAGCTGAACACCCCATCCAAAAATCTTAGAGACTCGGCACATAAGCTGTTACCACATATACACCTCGATTTTACATGTAAATGACTACCATACCTTGACCGAGAAATCGTACGCATGGCTATAGTTTGTATACCTGGGTGTTGTCGAACCCAGCTTTGAAGATCACAGATGGTCAAAGAAATAAGCAATGTAGATGTATTGGTTGCCGACTATGTCTACCTCGCAGTTCTCACACCAGTCTTGCTCCATCACATGCTTATCGTCTCAAGCATTGTAATTTCACATTTGGATGTGTTCCAAGGCCCCTGGAATTCTTGATTACTTCCTCATATCCGCCCTTCAAACTCAGCTGATGTCCAGCTACGATCTTTGCTACAATGATCCGAACCATTGGCATTGCCATGTACTTACCCATGCATTGGCGCGGACCAAAGCCAAAGCGTGAGAAGTTGTATCGGGTTTGCGATGGCTTTAGTCCCATGAAGCGGTGAGGTCGGTAGACAAGTGGATCGGTACCCCAGAATGGGTTGCGCTGGTTCAAGCTATAGATATCTACGGCCACATTCGTCTTCAGGATATGAATTAGCATCAGTAATACGAGGGATATACGATGACTCACTCCCGCGGGTATGACATAGCCATCGGCAACTCGGTCAGTCGGTGCGCTTTGAGGAACTGAGAATGCTGCAAAGTTTTGTCAGCAGAGGGGCTGTGCCACATCGGGGGAAACCGCTCACCAGCGATAGGCCTCAATCTCAACGATTCACAAATGCATGCTTCCAGCAATGTGTCACTTCGTTGCACGTAGGCTTCCCAACCTTGCCTCGCGGTCTCATCTTGGATCTCACGAACCAGTTCTTCTTGTACTTCCGGATAGCAGGCCAAGAACACAAGATTCCAACTGACACTTCCGATGCCGACATCAAGGTTCGCATAAAGCGACTCGTCAACCGTTTGTAGGACCTGTGTGGTGTTAGCGAAAGCTGCGCGATGTTTAGTTGGAAAGCTTCAGCCGTACCTGCTCTCTCGTCATTCCTCCATCAGTCTCAGTATCCTCCCACATCTTCCGGAACAACACGTCTCCATTCTTACTATTGGCTATGCTGTATGCATCGATATTGAACTGCATCCACGCCTCCTGCCACTGTTTTAGCAATCGGTTGGCTTCTGTCGGCAAATACTTTGAGAATGAGAAGCGGGGCAGTCCGCCTCCAAGTGCGTATACGAAAAGCTTCTCGCGCTTCGGGGACCATTCGCTCAGCCACTTCACTTGACCGTCAGTCAGATCTCCGTAGAAAACTGTGGCAATCATCAAGAATGGAAGCATAAGCAGATCCGCAACAGGGTCGATCCGCTCGTTGTTTGGGGATCTGGAAGCAAAGAATGCAGCCAAGTGAGCTTCTGTCATATCGATCATCTTTGGGACCAAGATTCCCGACGCAGCGTGCGTAAAAGGCGGATCAGTCTTCTTTCGTACTTGTCGCCACGCATCTCCGTTAATGAGCCCAACACACTGACCGAGTATTGCCGACATGAAATAGCCAGAGCCCATGTTTTGGGCTTTCTTGTGTTGGTCGGAATCTCCAAAGACGGCCCGTATGGCTGAGGGTGTACTCACTACCCTATTCGGGCAGCTTCAGCAATGATTCTACAACTTACTGCGTGTGGTAGGTGTACTTACACCTCCGGCATCATGCCGTTCCAGATGCGATAAGTAGATCCATACTTCTCGCGCCACTCAATGTTCTTTTGAGGCCCGAGAATAAATTTATCGACATCGCCATTGCCATTTGGAAAACGATAAGGAGTGGAGGGCATAGAGCGTTGTCCCGATATATCGCGGATAGGATAGCGCCAACTGAGATAGCACTGGCGACGTCAGTAAGTCTTTGGAACAACATGAGATCTACTCACATGCAATAGCCACGACACAACTGGGGTGAACGTATTCCGGAGAATTAGCCACAAAGAAAGCAGAGCGAGGCTTGCGAGAAAAATTTGGATCGCCATCTTTCTCCTGTGGTGATTAAGAGACGTAACAGTGATCAAAGGAGAGTTATGTGCAGGAATGCAATATGCTCAAAGCCGCGCAACGTAAGTTCAAGGGGACGAACTATGCTAAGAGTATGGCAGCATGGTACAACGAGTGAGTTGTCGTATTATATATCACGTAAGCAGTAATTTGTACTTTACATTACCCTTCGCTGACTGGATATTGTAGCGTTGTAGTCCAACCAACATCTGACTGCATGTAAACACTGCATCTCGACTCCACATCACACAAGCCCCGTTGTGATGCATAAATGGCTCAATTTCCAATGCATGTCTTGGAGGTAAGCGAGAAAACATCAGTCAGATGACTAGCACAGCACCAACAATCCAACGATGCATTCCTTCTCGTAAGCAGAGCCGACTGTCAGCAACCAGCTTGTGCAACAATGATGATACGTAAGCATTATTCACGAACTGCACTGAGATATTCCGTGTTAAGGCCCGAATCATGTCAGAATCGAGCTCATTTCGCATCCTTCGGATCCTACTCTGCATGCGGCGTAAGTCTGTGGCGCGTTACATGCGAATCCAAGAGTCTGGATCCACGTAGGCTTCAAATTTTCGGAAGGACAAACTCAAGTCAGCATTAAACGAATTAGTTCATAGTGTATACCAGAGTGTCCGCTGTTACGCAAGCTACAATTTTGAGTAAAACCGAGAAAGCTCTGGTCAGCACTCCTAGACACTCCAATCTTTTCAATCTTTTCTCATTTTTCGAAGATCACACAATGGCCGAAATGAGCTTGTTAGCTCCCTTGGAGCAGCTTCGCGACTTGATCAATACTTCAATTGGTGTTCTACAGAAGAACGAGAAAGAACTCCAAGAGACACCATTCTCTTCAATCGCTCTTGAATTGCATCCCGTTCATCAGTCGACCAATATCGAAGTCAGGAAGGCATTGAAGACGATTGCGAGCTCTTCACAAATGCTACGTGCACTTACCGACCCGCACACTTTTTTGAATGACATATTTATGGGTGTAAGGCAGAATCTAAAGCCACGCGTCTATCCAGTGCTAACTAGACATCTAGTTTCATGATGGCACAGCCCTTCTCGTCTGTGTAGAGGCCAACGTCGCAAACATCATTGGGGGCACGGAGATGCACATTGATGATGTTGCCACCAAGGCAGAAATAGAGAGTGACAAACTGGCTCGTTACATGCGCAATCTCTGCAACAGTCACGTCTTTCGCGAGGTCTCCCAGGATGTCTTTGCAAACACATCCTTGTCTGGGTTACTCCGCGAAGAGGGAAAGCGAGCACATGTGGCTCATTGCCTCGATTTGGTTCGCAAGAGCTCCTGCAGGGCTTGGGATGCCTTGAAGCTCCCTGAGTTCCGGAATTCAGATGCTCCTGACAAGACGGCCTTTAATCTGGCTTACAACACCAAGCTGAAGATCTTCCAATACCTCTCTGAGGTTGAGCCAGAGATTGGAAAGCGCACAAAGCTGGCTTTTGCTAGTGGAACTAAGGTCAATACTGACGAGTTCCTTGGCGTGTACCCGTGGGCGATGGAAGGCAACGCTAAGATTGTCGATATCGGTGGCGGAGTTGGTGGGGGAACTATGCCCGTCATCAAAGCGTTCAAGGATCTCAAACTTGTCGTGCAAGACATACCTGATACCCGGTCCAACTTTGAAAGAGTAGGTCAACCCACCTCGCTCGAGTCTGGCAAAGAACAGCTATGCTAACTTTTCATCTAGGTATGGAATGAAGATTGCCCAGAGGCCATTCGTGACGGCCGTGTGAAATTCGCTGTCCATGATTTCTTCACTCCGCAGACTGAAGAGGCCAACATCTATTTCATGCGACATGTAATTCATGACTGGCCGGACGCCGAGTGTGTGAAGATATTGGAAAATACCGCAGCCAAGATGACCTCTTCTACCAAGCTGCTCATTTGTGAGCACGTTGTCCTACCGTCGTACCGACTTCCTCCAACCGCGAACCTTGCGACGGGTTCTGCCAGAGATGATTTCGCCGCACCCGAGCCACTCCTTGCCAACTGGGGTGCCGCACACACAAGCCGTTTAGACTTGCAAGTCTTGGCTTGTCTTAATGCACGACAGCGTACGCAGGCTCAGTACGTAGCGCTGGTTCAGCAAGCAAGGCTGGAAGTGGTTAAATTTTGGAGGAACATGGGGCCCTTGGTTATTATAGAATGCCGGAAGCTCTGATAAGTCGAGCTTGTGACATATGAGCAATACATAGCTACTGCAATAGAAGATATAAATAGCGTTTTCAGAAGTCTGAAGGATGCCTAAGTGTTGAAGCTGAGCAAACTCGAGAGTATAGATTGTATTGATTACTGCTCTTCTAGAGTATCAGAAGAGCTGGTTTAAATGTACAAACAGATCATGGAGAAATTGTAGTCCACTTCCCGATCTGAGTCAGCTAGGTCACGTGGATCAGCACTTCACTGTTCTCATGTATCGATGCTGCGACACTAAGTCTATGCTTATTCCACTGAGCTTCATATGCAAATCTCCGCATCGCATTGTATCTACAACCATTCATGTATTTATAACCATTCTTGTGTCTACAATCATTCTTGTATCTACAACCACTCGGTAGTGTTGCCCCAGTAGCTCAAGAACTGGCCACTCTGCTCAGGCTTAGACTTCTTTACGACTTCCAAGATCCTCTTCACGCTCTCCTCAGGAGTGACCGGACCCTTCCATTCGGGGTACTTTTGCATCAGCCTGGCGAACATGCCCTGCATCTTCTCCTTATCCGCTTCGCTGACTGTAGACGTCTGGTCAGAGAAATTGCAATCAAAGGGAGGGAAAACCTACAATTGGCGGACGCGTTCATCAGCGTGTCCGTCGCAACTGCGCCAGGCGCAATGCTCAGGAAGGTGAAGCCTTCGTCCTGGAGCTCGGCCGCAAACTTGGTGATGACAATGTTACCTCCCGCCTTGCTTGCGCTGTACGGAACTGAGTTCGCGATGCGGGCCGCCACAGTCTCAGGCCCATCAGCAACGGCACTGGATATGTACGTAACGCGCTTCTCCGTGCCTTTGCGGAGGAGCGGCAGGAAGGCGTTGATCGCGAACAGCGGTCCAGCCACATTGGCCTCGTCACTCTTCTTAAGCTCCTCAAGGAAGAGCTCGGGCTTTTCGGCGAAATCAGTGGGGTTCATGCCACCTGTGGTGGAAGAGAGAAAGGCGCCGTTGATGATCAGGTGATCGATCTGGCCGTTGACAAGGGAGGATGTGGCCTTTGCTGCAGCTTTCAAGGAGTCCGCAGAAACCAAGTCAGCCTCGACGACATGCACATTTGCAACCTTGTCGGCTTTCAGCTTGCCCTCGAGGTCGGCGGTATTGCGTGCAGTCCCAACGACGGTATTTCCCTCAGCGGCGAGGGTTTGAATGAATTGATACTAAGATATTCAGCCCTTTCCTATCTTCTAAGGCTGAACCAGAAAAATTGTGATGTAAAAGATGCGGCATACATACCCCGATTCCGCGCGAGGCGCCGATGACAACGGTGGTAGACATTTTCGTTATTAAAAAGAGTCAGAGGAGAAGATTCTGGATCTGCAGGTGGCTACTGCTACAAGTTCTGAGAGGCTGCCGTGTTATAGGCGACACTCCGTCCGTTCGGCGGAGCATTTCTTAGGAATTGGTCAGCGAGATGAGTTGTGATACTTCGTTCCGGAACTTGGGGATCTTGGCTGGAAGCCTGTTTTGGGATTCGTCCACTCGGCGTTTATGAAAACGCGGCTGACTGCATACATTAAGGTTACACAAAGGATTGCGGCGTAGTTGACTAAGGTGGGCACGTGCACTAGTTTAGTCACGGCCAGGGCTCGCCGGCCGAGGGGAACTTCGCGACACCTGGCGTGCTGGGTGCTGCCGTGCTGCCGTGCTGCCTACTGCAATCCTTCCGTGCTCACTCGGACGCCTTGCGTGCTTAATTGAACCCCAACCCGGAACGAATTCCGTGAGCCCCACACTTGCGCCCTACAAAATACCGCAGCGGTTAATCTGCATGCCCTTTTTTGTGAGTAGGTCCGGGCTAGAATAGGCAAGGCTAGGTAGTAGAAGTACTTGCATTACAATTCCTAAAACATCCCTGGCACGGTACGGTTCTGCGTTCTGCATAGGTGCAAGGAAAGTCAATGCATGTTCGCCTTAATCGCATAGCAGCCTTCAAAGACCTAGCGAATTTTTTCCGCTTTGAATGACTCCAAAGATGCTTTCTACTAAGCTCATGCGTCAGCGTCAAGAACACCCACATCGAGAATTGCATGTCAACTACTGACTGCATACGACGTTCTCACCTGCAGACGCAAGCGAAAACCTAATAGCGTTGACTTCCAAGGTTGTTGCTAACATCACCTTGCTAACGCCTGTTTGCGCGCTACAACGCGTTGCTTGTCGTGGCTCTTTCACAACCTGCGTAAATCTCCTGATCGGGAAGTCTAGATTCGAGTGGCTTGCGCAGGAGCGCCAACTGGGTAGGCAATGCGACGCGGGGCCTCGTATCAATGCTTGTGGCGTAGCCCAACACGAGAAGGCGTAAGAAGATATTTCGTGATCTTACGTCTCCGTTTTGTGAAGGATGCTGCAGCTGTTACTGTGGAGTCAATGTGCTGAGTTCCTCGCGGAAGTCGTAACCGATGTCGCCGCCTCACGTGGATGTGGCGTACGGACCTTTACGACCCGAGATATCCCTGCCAAGAGGCGTCTAGTCAGCTTTCTAGTAAGCTGATACTTCAGGCTTGAAATGTTGGAAAGGCGTTAAGCGTTGAGCCATAGTCCCCATTACGGCCGCAGAGATGTTGGAATCATGGCTCTCTGTCAAGCCCGAGCTTCAAGGCTACGCGTGTGGTGGTGTTTGGTGGCAGACATCTCGGGGAGCTTACCACAAGCACACGTATCCGAAGGGTGGTCAATGATCTCAGAAAGCGACTTGAGTATGTGGAATCGGTCAGATAGCCCCCAAAGAAAACGGGCTATGCGGACTATTCCAGCGCCACCGGAGGTTTTCAAAAATCGAATGTGTATAAGAATAAAATAGCAAAGCATCATGCTTTCCAGAGTATCATCTAGAGTCTGTTCTCCTGCGCCATGTTGTCTCTATCTGTGCTCCTTGTTCTTCTAATTTCACAACTTTCCTCTTGTTCACCTCTATTGAACCATGACTTTTTGAGTCCTAGACAAAGCGCTACAAACGAAACGGATGTCAGTGACTTTGTCAGGAACCTGAATCTCGACGGGTCAGCAGCCGACGCTCTGTTCAAGACTCTTCAAAACGATCGAGACGTGAAAGCCCTGCTTACAAGCAAGCAATACGACAAGTCCTCGCTGGCCCGTCTATCATGCGAAATTCTCCATAAGAATCTGGGAGAGAATGTAGTTTCATCCAATGCAGTTGAACAAGTCGTTCAACAAAGCTGGTCAGTTAGACCCGAACCACCATAGCTCACTGTTTCCGCTCACATTGGTTACTAGGTCAGAGGCGTGTTGGTTGATTCCCACTTGTATCATCAGGCCGCAGACTGCGAAAGACGTGTCTAAGGCGCTGCGCGTTGTGAGATTCTTTCGAACAACTTTCGCTGTTCGCAGCGGCGGCCACTCTCCAAACCCTGGGTTTTCTACGCTGTCCGATCCAGGTATTATGATCGATTTGCACGATCTCAATCACATCTCAATCAATGGAGATAGAAGTGTTGCAACCATAGAGCCTGGAAATGAGTGGATCCAGGTCTACGATGCTTTGGACAAGTACGGCGTAAGTGTCGTTGGAGGGCGTGGTCCGACAGTTGGAGCCGGTGGATTCATGTTAGGAGGTCTGTATTCCACAAGTCACCTGTTCGTATCTACGTATGTTACTAATTGACTGTAGGCGGCTACTTCCACTGGTCTGGCAAGTACGGCATGGCTGCAGACAACGTGAAAGATTTCGAGGTGACTTTGCTGTCGCTGATCTTACCTTGAGCCAATGCTGACATTCATGCCCTAGGTCGTACTGGCTGATGGAACCATTGTGAATGCAAATGCGAAGACCAACACCGATCTTTTCTGGGCACTCAAAGGCGGAGGTCCAAACTTTGGTACGTGTTTCACTCGAGTCCACGGGTTTTGTGGTAATCGTATTATCCGGCCCCTAGTTGTCGCTCAGTGATTGTCGTGCCCTCGTTTCTAAAATTCCATACACCCACTATCTGCATATTTGTTTCGCGTCCTTCCACTGACTGGCTTGCGATAGGAATTGTCACCAAGATGCAACTCTACACCGTCCCAATCCAGAAGATCTGGTATCAGCTTGGACTCTATCGTGCCGAGCAGGCTCCTGAGCTCATAGACGCTTTTGCAAAATGGCAAAATGAGGGAGCGTCCGACACGAGAGGCTCTGTTGGTTTTCTCATTGGCACTGAGACGGCGTTCGTTGGTCTTTTCTGGTTGGAGCCTGCCGTGAAACCAGAGGTCTTTGCACCCTTCTACGACATTCCTCAGATCGAGCCAGCCGCGAAGCCTATCAATAGCACCTTAATAGAGCTAACAAACCTGTTGGGATTCGTTGGCGGTGCATCTTCGGCCAGGTACCTGATTTCTGCTCAATGCCACACGCGTAGGTCCTGGCTAATTCTCGCCTAGACATGATTATCGCGCTCTGACCACCAGGGTGGACGCCGAATTGTACAAACAAGTATATGAGTTCTGGAAGCCAAGGGCGCAAGCGCTACATAACACGACCGGTGCCAACTCGACCTTTGTGTTCCAGCCCGTGCCAAAGTCTGTCGCCGAGGCAGGTATCGCGAAGGGAGGGAATGCAATGAATATCCCAGTAGAGAACCAGATGTGTAAGTCTCGCTGCCACATCCCATACCTGCTTCACAAGTATCTACCCATTGAGTAATGACTGACGATCCTTAGGGTGGAGCTCTACGATGGACTGGGAGGACGCAGCGGATGATGACACTGTGCGAGCGTTGTCGATTGAGACCACTAATAAGTGGAAAGAGCTCGGTCAAGCTCGTGGCTCCTATTTGCCTCACTTATTCATGAACGATGCTTCTCGTGACCAGAACCCCTTGGCTTCTTACGGGCAGAAGAACCTACAGCGGTTGAAGCAGATTGCTGGAAAGTATGATCCAGGACAGCTATTCCAGAAGATTCAGAACAGTGGTTTCCTTCTTTCCAAGGCTTAACGTATATGGCGAGTGAGTTTCTACTGACAAAGTGGGGCTGATTGTTTGGAGTGTTGTTCTTTGTACGGGTTTTATAGATGTATGCAGAGATTGCTTAAGCTTACTACTTCGACGTAAATTTAAACACGTACTTTTCAATGCGTAAGGAAAGAGTTTTCCTTGCTTGTGTGCTGCTTCTGATTCTTCTTGCGAAATGAATGTATCGTTTGACACCATCAGCATTACAATCCCGTGCAGGTGAAGAAGCAACAACGAGCACCCAACGCGATTCGTATCGTGTGTGCGAAGGTTGTATTCAACTCCCTGTCGTCCCAAGGTTTCTTTCGAGGGCTATCAACCACCCACATCCTTCAGCTCACATACGTTGAGGTCGAAAAACGCGCCCCTAGGCCCGTCCATCTTCGCAGCATGCTTGCACACTCAGCATACAAACCCGTGTCTCAACTCAAGCACTTGTCTTCGCAAAAATGACTTTTGATTGTGTTATGAAAACTCTTGATTGTTTATGACAAGTGTCAGCTAGTCATTCTATCTAAACCCAATAAGCTCCTGCTTTAGAACCGGTGCTCCAACCACAATAGGTCTATCATGCTTGTCCAGAAGCTGCAGAAACCTTCCGGGGGATTCAAGTACAACATGCTGCCACATGAAGAGCTTCAAGGAAGGACCTGTCCCAAGCTCCCTTGCTTCTGCCTTCGACGCTTGTAATTGTTGCGAGAGTCCAGGCGCTGCTTCATCCATAATACTATGAACTACAGCGTCTTCACCTTGCTTTTCTTCTTCGCCTGATAGCGCGAAACCGTAATGGCGGTGGTCTGCGAATATCGCAAGGACGTTGCGGTCCTGGTCGCTTGCGAGAAGGTCTTTGCAGTGCTGTGCGTTGTCCTCGCAGGTGTCGTCGTCGTGGAGTCTGGTGGTGGGAAGCCGCGCCATGTACTCCGCCGTCTCTCCATCGATGCTGTTGCCACTTATGACAATGTGTGGGCGGCTTGATTGGCGAAGATCGTCCAGCTCGGCACCAGTGACATGGGTCAGATCCCAAGATATGTTCTCGCGAATGACAGACTCCATATTCTGGCGGTGCTTGACGTCTAGGACGCATATTGAGGCGCGGAATATGTTTTTGTGGAACCCTGATGGCAGTCAGTTCTATCTCTGTCGAAAGGTGGCTAGATACGTACCATGCGAACAGTAACGCCGTGAAACTATCATCACCGGAGGGGATGTTTGGGCCCAGAGCTCACGAAGAACGAGATAGCCAATGTAACAAGAGACGGAGCTCACGCCTTTGGCACTGGTTCTTTTGGACTTTTCAAGGAGACTGTTGCAGAGTTTCAGCCTTTGTGGATCATATCAACATATTTGACTATACATACCTGGCCATCAACTGTCGATCGGGTGAGAATATTCGGGATGTAGAGCTCAGCCAGGCGCAACTGCAGTCTGAGAGGTAGCTTTGCAAAGCTGCAAACTCCAGTTCAATGGGCCTCTTTGTGGGTGGCTGACATGGATGGGGAAAATTACCATCTAGTAATTTGTTGCTGCAGTCGAAGGCTGATTGGGGGTTGATATTCGCGCCATACACTTGAGCCCGGACGGTGAAGTGCTTGTACTTGGACAAGACGTACGAGTAGACTAGAAAGTGCACGACTTGGTGCCAGTCCCAGGGCTCCCAGTAATCCGAAGTAGCCTCGGCATACACCACCGACGGAAAATTTGCTCGTTCTTCCTGCAGGTCGATCGGGTCGATCTGCGATATAGAAGCTGTATCGGAAGCACTTGTGTTTGTGCTGCCGACACTGATCCTGCTCGCACTAGCCTGGCTGACGGATGGGCTAGCAACACTGCTGGCGACAGATACAACCAGAGCAGTATTTGAAATCTCCTGGGTGCGTTCTGGTTTTTTTGGCTCAGTCCATCCAATTTTTCGTAGAATCTCATCGATGCTCATGCCTTGCTTAGACATTCCCAGCGCTGCTGGACCTTTCTTTGACACTCCCATGTTGCAGACCTCTTTGCAAAAGGTGTGAGCGTTGTCTACAACCTTCTTCAGATGATCGATAGTTTGCTCGATGAAGCGAACTTCGGTGGTAGACGAGACATGCTGACGGTATCTGTTGAAGATTTCGAGCAGCATACATGCTCGAAGTTGACAAGACGTGTCACCCACATGGGCATCAAATGCCATATATCCAGGGGAGTTTACGTCGAATTCGTTCTCACGAAGGAGTTTCAGGAATAGCTGCAACGCATCGATGGCGTCGTTGCCTCCACGAACAATATTGAACAAGTGCCTGGGAATAGCAGACGGTTTGTGAAGTACACTGGAAGAGATTTTTGCATGCTTTCCCGCTGGAAACAGATAGGTTGCCATTTTGAACAGATGGATTGAATGAGGACTTGATCGTGAACAGTACGAAGCGTGTCCGGTGAACTTGGCTAAGGGAAAAGTATGATATCGAGCATCAATTTTCAATCCCTTATTATTACTGAAACGGTCTTAGTCCAGTTGGGACACTTGGACCACTCTGCGACTCTATGCATCTCCCGTAAGACGAGTTTTGGTAGGATTTGAGAAGGATACTCAGCATGCAGCTGTAATGTCACACAACAGGATGATAGGTGGAACATGTGACCCAGCACGCCATAAATAAGGTTTACCACACGCCGGAAGAGGAATGGAGAGGAGCTCGTGAGATCCTCCGGAAAAAAGAGAAGCGAAGTTGCCAACATTGTGGCGCCAAGGTACCATACTTGCATGCTGACCGGCTGCATGTCACGCGGGCCTCGCCGACCATCTTACTTGAGGCTCGTATTAGTTACGCCCGTGAGCGTTGGCTGAAACCTGCATGTGTCTTTCCATTCCTTCGAGTGCATTGGTCTGTATTGATGCTTTCATTACATTTCTCGTAAATTACAGTGGCTTGCATCGTGAGGGCTAATGTCTGCACACCTACTTAACTTCGACGCTGAATTCCACTCTCGCTATCTTCAAGATTTGCCATTGCTAGCTCAGCACTCTGCTCCTTTACTCTCTCGTTATGGAATCTACAACAACGACATTCTCGCTGTTCGCTGTGAGAACGGTCTTTTGCTGCGTGGTACTGGCCGTATTTTTGGCAGTCTTCAGTGCTCGTAAGCCAAAGTCCAATCTTCCATGGGTGGCTTTGGACGAGGATCCCACAACGAAGGGCCTTCAGAATGTCGGAAAAGCTCGCAGACAGTGGGTCGAAAACTGTAACGCTGTCATCGACAAAGGTCTGAGCGAGGTAGGTCATGTGATTCGGCAGCAGCCTTACCACAACTCACTTCTCTTAAGGCCTGTTAAACTCACCACTGTATATAGGTAAAAGGCGCATTTTGGGTCCAGACCGACGTCGGTCCTAAGATCATCCTGCCCAACTCGTATGCGGAGGAGATTCGGAATAGTCCGCACATGGTCTTCTCAGAAGCCATCAAAGAGGTATGGCTATTGGTTCAATGGGCATGGAACATTACTAACTGAGTTGCGTGCAGGAACTTCTGGCTACATACTCGGGTATCACGCCAATCGGCTTGTTGACGGATGGCCACGTGTTCCAAGATCTTACACGCATCAACTTGACCCGTTCGCTCGGTACGCATCGTGGAGCCCCTGTCTACCGACCAAAGAGCTGATAGGACACCGTAGATGCTGTGACACCTATACTCAACGGGGAGACGCGAGTCTCTTTGCAGAAATTGTTGGGTGACAGTAAAGGTACCTAGACGACCAGTCTCCAGTCGAAAGCAATTTTCTTACCAAGACAACAGAATGGCGCGAGACACCGATCAGGAACTTTGCCAATGATCTAATTGTACGCCTATCAACTCGAGTGTTCTTTGGGAGCGAACTTTGCCAAAACCAAGAATACCTCGACCACATCGTTACTTGGGGTAACCTGGTCTTGATGGTCAACGCAGCTCTTCGTCCGTGGCCTCTTGCTCTCCGTAAAATTGTCCATATGTTCCACCCTTTCTCGCGCCAGATACGCAGTACGAGAATGAAGATAAGAAGTATCATTTCTCCGCTCATCGCTGAGCGTGTCGCGCTCAAGAAGCAGGGGAAAACATCAGCCAAGATGTCGGACATGGTCGGGTGGATGGAAGACATCATCGAAGAAAAGGGAGCGAATGTCGATCTGATCGACGGGCAGTTGTTCATAGCCTTTGCTGCCGTCGAGACAACCAGTACGACTTTGGCATACCTCATACTAGACTTACTGGACCATCCGGAGGCGGTAGCACCCCTTCGACAGGAAATCATCGAGGTTCTTGGGTCGAGCGGTTGGAGTAAGACTTCTCTCATGCGCTTAAAGTTGCTCGATAGCGCTATGAAAGAGTCGCAGAGATTGCATCCACTGAGCCATCGTAAGTCAAGACCTCCCTCCAGTGTCTCTCAAACCTCATGTAGGCTGACGGGATTGTAGTCAATATGCAGCGCAAAGTGATCCAAAATGTGACTTTGTCAGACGGGACAGTGTTACCCAAGGGTACGCAGACTTTCGTCAGGTGGGAGACTCGCAGCTCAGAATCGGTCTACCCAAACCCTGATGAGTTTGTTGTCGACCGCTTCCTGAAGATGCGTGAGAGCGGGGAAAATGGAGCGAGCAGCAAGTGGCAATTTGTCAGTACTTCGCCCGAACACCTAGCTTTCGGGCATGGACGCCAAGCTTGTCCAGGACGTTTCTTCGCCAGCAACGAAATGAAGGTGGCGATGGTGCATATACTTCTGAAGTATGAGTGGAAGTACACGGGCGAGGGCAGAAAGCCAGAACAAACCATCTCGCACATACCCATGCTGCCGTTTGATCAGAAGGTCGCATTCCGTCGCAGAGAGGTAGAGGCTGGTTTGGATTTGTAGGGGACATGGGCGTGCCGAAGACCTTCCGTGTCGGGAAAGTCGTTTAGAGTTGCTGTAGATTGCGGCACTAAAAGGCTTGTCTCGCATCCCGTCTGCGGGGGGATATGCATCCGAAACCAGTGAAACAACGTATTGTCTTTAAAGAACCACCACTTGCGCATGTTCGCGATAGTAGAACGGAAAACAAACGAGGCTGTTGCTTTCAAACACATGTAATTGCAGATCTATATGGGATGCCGATGTCACAGGCCTCTAAATTCCGCACCGAGACTTCATGATGCATAAATCCGTGAAATGCTAGCTGCTTTGAATCCGAACATTCCTCTCACGGAAACTTTTTGTTATCCTCCACTTAAGCGTTCTCCGCGGTGATCAGCTTCGTGATCTTGCCAATAGCAATGGTCTGACCTTGGTCACTGGGGTTCTGTTAGCATATGTTGACAATTTGCCCCGCATCAAAACTTACCGAAGGGTGAATCTCCCAAGTTGCGGGTAATCTTCGAATCGCTCAACACAAATGGATCCAGCCGTGCCTGTGACTTCTAAGCGCGCAATGATGCTCATGCCCTTGGTTGCGAAACCTGGAGCCTTCTTGCTCTTGCGGCCTGTGCCCTTCTCGAGCTTGTGCAGTAAAGCCGAGATGGTAACTTCTTCCTGTGCGGAGTGAACATGTAGCACGCAGTTGAAGCCGGCCGTCATGATCGACTTGAGGTCAAGGAGCACCACCTGCGCCTCGAAGGTTGAAACGCAGTGGACTGGTCGCTTCGGTGAACAAAGCACATATCCGGGCAGGATATCTTCTTCTTCAACACCTCGTAAACGGATGCGCACTTGGTCACCGCACGTTGCGGCGGGGATTTCGTCTTCTTGCTCTCCATAGAGGGCGGAGATATGGATCATCTGTCGATTAGGCATCATGATGTACTTGTTCTCCTTCTTGATGATACCTTGAAACTGTCAGTACCGCTCATTGTGTTTTCAAGAAAGGAGTACGTACCAGATTCAATCTTGCCCTCCACCATGGTTCCCATATCCTTGTACTTGGCAGCGATGGGCATCATGAAAGGAGCGTTCAGCTTGCGCTCAAGAGCCTGCATGCCATCCAGGTACTCCAGAAGAGAAGGACCATCATACCAAGGTGCCAGATCCTTTGGCACGCGCTCCTTGATACCCGTGAACGTCTGCGCACTGACGGGCATCATGGCGATGTCGGTCTTGGGGTTGTACCCAACACCCTTCAAGAACTGGACGAGCTTGGACGTGCATTCCTTGTATCGCTCCTCAGACCACTCGACAGTAGGGTCATCCATCTTGTTGACAACGATGACGAGCTTGTTCACACCCTGAGTCTTTGCCAACATGGCGTGCTCGCGCGTCTGTCCGCCCTTTTCAAAACCAGTCTCGTACTCACCTTTTCGGGCTGAGATGACGAGAACACCAACGTCGGCTTGTGAAGCACCGCCAATCATGTTGGGCACGTATGTCTTGTGACCAGGGGCGTCAAGAATGGAGTACCGGCGCTTCTCTGTCTCGAAGAATCCTCGGCCGACCTCGATGGTCTTACCCTGTGCCCGCTCCTCCTTGTTCAAGTCCAGCGCCCATGAAATGTACCAAGTCTCTCGGCCGGCGTCCTTTGCTTCTCGCTTGTACTTGTCCAGTGTTCGCTCGTCGACCATGCCCGTGCTGATCAAGATGCTACCACCTAGTGTCGACTTTCCGGCATCGACGTGACCCAAGAAAATGATGTTGACGTGCTCCTTTCCGTACATCTCGGCCAGCGTCGCCTCGTCAACGTCTTCAAGCTCCTTTTCCACATCCACTGCCTTTGCAGCGGGCTTCTCCGACCTTGAAGGACTGTTGCGACCGGATGATGGCGTTGGTGACGTGCGGCCCGGAAGCGGCTGGTGTGGTTTCGCCGGTCTTCTCGATGGCTTTGGCGGCGGCGACTTTGGCTCCAGCCTCTGGAGCGCCCTTGTCGACGTTCTCCTTCGCGGCCGACGGTGCTGCTGGGGTTCCAATGGAGAGTACCTTGGTCTGCCCGGCCTTCTCGACCTTTGGTGCTGCTGCATCAGCGCCGATCGTCAGGACCTTGGCCTTGGGCGCACCGTCGCCACCGATGGAGAGCACTTTGGCCTTTGGCGTCTCCTTCTTGGGCTCTGCCGCGGAAGCACCCTCCGCGCCTGGCTGGTCTGCCTCCCCTCGCTTTGCAATCTTCACAGGTGCCTGTCGTTGCTGCTGGGGCTGTTGGGCCTGCTGCTGGTAGCCGTACTGGTTTCCGTAGCCCTGCTGGCCGCCCTGCTGTCCGTAGTTCGGGTAGCCCCCCTGTTGCTGCTGCTGTCCGTACTGTGGGTATCCTTGCTGGTAGCCATATTGCTGCTGTTGCTGCTGCTGGCCGTAGTTCTGGTATCCGCCTTGTCCATATTGCTGGTACTGGCCGTAGCCCTGGTTGTATCCGCCAAACGCCTGTCCGGGGACGAAGGCCTGCGCGCCGGGGGTAAAGGATGCCGCGCCGGGGGTGAAGGCGCCAGCATTTGGGTTGTTCAGGTTCATGCCCTGGGCCTGCTGTGAGAGGCGCTCCTCCTCGTCTTCCCAGCTTTCGGCCATGGTGTGCGGGGCTCGTTAAGAAAAAGAAGTGTCGGGAGTGTTCGGGGTGTCGAATGGACGGAGTCGCGGTTATGGGGTGTGTATGCCGTCCAGGAGACGACGCGCGTGTCTATATAGGCGGTGGCCAGTGGGGCGGTGCTGGCAAAAAGTGGAGGGTTAGTTGTGCGCCGTTCGCTGCTCTTACCAGGTTTTCGCGGGGTCGTCGCTGCCCGTTGTGGCTGACTCAAAGCCGTTCACTGCCTGATGCCCTATTGGCCCACTCACCAGCCACATCAAAACAATGCCATCGAGCAAACACATTCAAACATGGGATCCATCGCGAATCTGCAAGCCGTGATTCACAGAGGACTCATCCTCGACTCACCCTCGACTCACAAATGACATAATCAGCTGCCTCCGTGCCCCATCGCCTCTGCCAATCCTTCCTAATCCTCGACTTGCACCGCAACACCGCGTCGAGCCCAATCATCATGGATGTCCTCCTAGCGAAAGTATGACTCCCATCGGCCATTATACGGTTGGCACTATGCAGCCCGAAAGCGTTGCCGTTGCCCGAGATCCCAAAGCTGACCGCGGAACAGGTGACCCAACAGGCGATGAGCTATGCCATTCGCAGTGGCATAGCAATAACCAGCACTTACGCCCTGAAACAATGCGGACGATTGATGAAAGTGAGTACAAATCCAGCGACATCACGTCACCTCCACCTCCACCTCCATTAGTCGCGCTGTTGGATCCCCGACAAGAGCAAGAGCAGGAAAAGAGCAAGATGGTATCAGATTTCATAGGCCTCTTGCTGACAGGCCTTAGACCGTGGATGGCCGCGAGAAGGAAGAGTTGGCTACTTTGCAGCTGCGACTCGACTCAAAAATCAAGGTAAGCTAATACTTGGTATCGATCACAACTATTTCCTAAGACGTCCAGATTGTCTCGCCGGCTATTGACATGATTGAGCTGATTGCTGCTCGTGGAAACACATCTCTTGAATCAGCTGTTACACTCACAAAGTCTCTTCGATGGGACATCCAAACCCTTGGTAGCCGTGTTGAGAAGGCCGTGATAGAGGAGCAGCTTTCTCGAAGAGGCAGCTCAAAGGCCAGGTCACGCGCGCAGAACGACATCGAACTCAACGTCATCATTTCAGAGATGAAGAAACTTCTGGAGCGCATCGAAGACGCTGTACCCCTCATCAACTTAGCTATCACCACCTCTGGCGTCAGTCTGTCTACGACACTACCAGCTACCGTATCACCATCACGGCTGCTACAAGCTAGTACCTTCCTCACTGCTGGCGACATGCAGTATTGCTCTTCGAGGCCCAGGTCACAGCAGATAGGACCAACTTTTACACTCTCCATGTACATGTTATTCGCCGGCCATGCGAACCGACCACATGAGGAAGGACTTCGTGACACCACGTGGAAGGAGGTTATGCACAAGGCACGTGTGACGCTTCTGAGAGTGCCGCTCGATACTGTTTACGACTTTCCTACGCCGTTCGGGCCCACATCGAGCCGAACTGATGAAGCCAATCATCGACAGGTTCCCTCCGATAACAAGCTTCAGGAATTCGCGTACCAGCTACTGATTGTCGAAGACTTGGGACGACGGCCGTGTGCATACCTTTGAGGAAGACGAGCCACAGCCGGGTCCGTACGACAATGTTGAGCAGGCTGGCGTTCGTGAAATTATACCCATCCATGAGGTGTCCAAAATCTTTTACGCAGACACTGGAAAAATCCTCAACATAGGCACGGATGGTGAAACCAATAACCCAATCTTGCTTTTGAAGCGAGACATCAACGCTGCGCCACCGCGTCGCATGATGGAACAACAGCCCACGGAGGCAGGCTACGACTCAGACGATTCTCACACCATCGGCGAGGATGAAGACGAGCAGACAGAGCTTGAAGATCAACTCCGCAGGGAGTCTCACCCCCGGCTTGCAAGAGCAGCCAGTAGAACCCGAGCAGCCTACTTTCCCGTGGCGTCTCCCGCCGACGCTCGATCTCGAATGGATGGCATTTGAAGTCTACACCGAAGACCCATCTTCAGACTCAGAGCTGGACGACACTGAAGATCTAGAAGCAGAACTGTCATCCCCAACACACGGATCAGGTCCGGATCCCTCAGGTGTCCTAGCCGGTCTCTCAAACCTAAACCTACGTCCGTCTACTCCGTCGATGTCCCCACCACCATCGCAAAACACCCAACTCGTCCCCTCCCCCCAGAAGCCCTCCGCTCCCGCCCCACGCTACGAAACCCATGCGCGTACCACCCTCCCACCCATAAAAACCTCCCTCTCCCTCCTCGAAATGCTCGTCCGCCTCACCGCACTCCAGCAATTCCAGCAGTCCTCCCACCTCGCTATCCCAGACGAGTTCCTCAACTTCTTCCTATCTGATAGTAGCACCGTGGGCGCAGGGAAGTGACGCCGATCTGCGCCGCCGCGTGCGCCGCGAGGCGCGTATGCGTGTAGGTTTCGACCCGTACGACGAGAGCCCGATTAAGCGGAGGGGAGTAGGAGTACTTGGAGCACGAGTTTCACGACGACGAGCCTGGTTCACCTGAAGGTGGCGCGCCGTATGACTACGAACGGTTATCCGAGTAGTCGACCGTCGTCAAATTACGCTCGATCCCGCCCCTTGGTACGCCAGTCGGTTCCGCTTTCGTCACCATACTTTCGGCAATGAGGCGAGTCGGTCCAAGTCGTCTACAGATGTGCTGCGAGAGAGCCGTCCGCCGCTTGGAAGTGTTTCTTCGCCGAGCCCATTGCTGAGACGCGCAACGACGCAGCCGGGCCAAGGAGGGAATATGAAGCAGCCGAGCTTTAGAGGACCACCTACTGCGCCGCATACCTCCAGCTCGCCGCGACATGGGCCGGCGCAGTCTTTTCGGGGAAGTTTGGCGCCCGACACGCCGCCGAGCAGTATTCGGAAGACGGAGTAGGATATTGCTGATGGACAGGTGGTATGTGGTCGTGCAGATGTGTGAGGAGGTAGTTTTTCTAGACTGTTACAGCAAGTGCATTGCGAAGGCGTTCGGGACCATCACGGGTTTTCCAAGATACCATTTGTTATACTTCAAAGCATAAGATAGCGTAGATGGCGTAGCAACATTTCATCAGATCTCAACGAACAAGACATGGTATTTATCCGCATCACAAACAAAAGGCCTATCAAGTTCCCAGTTTCCGAAACGCCGTTACCCCTGTTGCCCTTCTCAATCATTGTAATCATTCCCAGTCTTCCTCATCACTCTCCTCGTCCTCCTCGGCTAACCCGCCTTCTTCTTCTCCTGCTGTGGGCTGCCTGGCGCACGGCTTGTGGCGCCGCTCACGAGATCGTAGCTCGCGTCGCTGTCGGCCACACTCTTCTCATCATTTGATCGGCGAGGCTGTGCGGGCTTGAGATTTGCGACTGGCTTTGGTTTGTCTTCGGCTGGGGGCTTGAGGGTTTTGACAGAGGCGGCGAGGTTGGTGGCGGACTTGTTTGAAGGAGCGCCGGAAGACTCTTCTTCTTCGTCGGAGTCCTCCTCTTCATCGTCCGACTCTTCTTCTTCTTCATCCTCGTCCTCTTCTTCGGCGTCTTCGGCATCTTCGGCGTCGTCGTCTTCTTCCTCCTCTTCGTCCGAGTCTTCGTCCCAGGCCACTTCTTCGTCGTCGGCGGGGTTTGATGCTGTGTAGAGTTAGACATAGAACATCGTTGAGGTGAAATGCTCAAATATAGCTTACCCTTCAACATGTCCCTTCGACGCTGCTCCTCACTTTCAATAACGTGTCTAAGGAAGTAGTATCGTTCCCAGAAACTCGCATAGTCTACCTTCTCCGGCACGCACTTCTCCATGGCAGTCCTCAACTCCGTATGCTTCTCCAGATCCTTTGCGATAGCATCGGTCTTCTTCTCCACGTCAAAGTCCTTCCTCCACTTCTCCCACTCGTCGCTCGCAGGGTCCTTCAAGAAGGAATCCAGGCTCGAGTGTATGACGTGCAGCTGTGCATCGAAGCGTGTGGCATGCACGACCTTCTTGCCACTGCTATCCTTGGACTCGAAGAGAACAGTACCGTCTTTCTCTTCCTGCGAGCCTGATACGGGAGGGGCAATAGAGACGGCATCGGCCAGAAAGCTACGGATGTTGGTGCCGAACTTGAGCAGTGCCTCGTCGGCCGCATCCTCTGCCTTTTCAATCTCCTTGAGGCGCTTTGCTGCGTCAGATCGAAATCGTGACAGCACGTTCCTTGCTTCTTTGACTATGTCTGCGGGGAGCGACTCGGGGCGGTCGGGGTGTGCTTCCGGATCTTCCGTCTTCTTCTCGGTGTTGATGGTCTCGCCAGCCTGAACTGAGAGATTTCGCGCATGCTTCACCAGAGTGGAGACACCGGCCGTGGCTGTCTTGCTCGTCTCGGCGTATTGCTTGCTGGCGGTGTCGTAGTATTGCTCGCCCTGGTCCGTATTAGAAACTGTGCCTGTGTGAGCTCGCGACAGATCCTCACCTGCTTCTTTACTGTGCCGAAAAATCCACCCAGCCTTGCCGCCCAAGGACTGCTGGATATGGCCTTGTAAGCATCTTGTATCTCAGCATTGAAGTTGTTGGCCGTCTCCTCGTGGGTTCTGTCCCCGCTCCCTTGCTGACTGGACTGGTCCTGAGGGTAGCTCTCTTCTTGAATGTGGTCGTATGCCGAATCCATGGCGCTGGTAGAGAACGACGCAGTGCGTGCTATACTAGGGTGCAGGTGAGGTACTTAGCTGAGATGGCACATGAATGTCAGGCGGGGAAGGCCCAATGCAGACAGCCGCCGCAAACAGCGCCGGACTTAGTGGGTTAGCGAGCCCGCAGTCCAGGGGTCCAACACCATTTGCATGTTACACATCACGTCAACAAGCACTTGGATGGAACTTGGAAAATATTGCTTTTGCTCATGTACAGTGCTCTGATCGACCTGCCGATACAGAGCGGCGTTCTGCGGTCAGATCTAGCACTGAAGCTATCTAGCTAGCGCCATGTCTCTTCATTCGATGCTCGCTCTCCCGATGTCAAACTGCTGAAGCTCAGCGCCGACCTCAATTACCTCTTCTTCTTTCCCACGACCTTTGTGAATCCGTCATCGTCCACCTCGGGCTCAGGTTTGGGCTCTTTTGCTTTGGCAGGCACCAACGCTGGCGCATCACCCATCTCAACGTCCTCGTCATCCTCGTCGCTCTCCTCATCCACGCTATCCCACTCGGCCTCTTGGTTGCTCTCCTTGACGTTGACACTCCCCGTGTCGACCTCCTTGCCCTTTCTTGATTCCCACTTCTGTTGCAGCTTGTCCACGATGTCGGTCTTGCCCTCCAAGATCTCCTTCCTCAAGGCCATTATCTCTCGGGCCACGTTGACTTCTGTCTCGTCTTCGAGGCGTATGCCGAATTCGTCTTCAAGCACCTGGAGTAGCATGACTTCTACGTCTTCGCAGTCGGTCGCAGGCTCGCTGGCAAAAAGGTCGCTGATTTGACCCGCCAGCCAGTCGCGCTTGTCGGAGGAGTCGGGGCCGCCCCATTGATTTTGTACGGCGACAGTCAGGTCAGCCCAGTTGAAGAGCGTGTGCCATATTCCGAGGTCGAATTTTGACTGTAGTTGTTCTGAGAAGCATGAGCAACGTGAACCAGACGTGAGCGCTGGACTTACCAGATATCGCTGAAGCATTCGCCGGCGCAGACATAGTTACACGGGTTTCCTGGTGGTGTTTGAAAATGTCCGCTGTGTTGCGTCACAAAAGTTGCATGGGAAATTTGGCCCTGGCTAATCGATAAGCGCCCGCACTTGCACCAACCCCACGCTCTCGATCTCGCGCATGCATGTGGGCAAGATTCCGAGGCCTCTGCCCGCGACCATTGTAGGAAGCAATCCAATACTCATGTCCGTCCGGAATGCTCCATGAGTAGCAGTTTGATCATGGGGCATGCGCCCAGTAACAGGCTATGTATCCCAGTATGCCAGAACGGGCCCAAAGAGTGCAGAGTTTTATGGCATTATGACATTGGCAACATCTCCTGAGCATGTGCAGAGACTTTGCAGAGCAAACTGTGCATGTCGCCATCCTAAGGACTGTTGTCCAAGGACATTGTTGGATAACTTGGCCATGCAGCGGTGCAATGTCATTCCGGAAAGGCACCGGCCGGCGCTTCACATAGAGAAAACAAGCGGTGACTGCTGAACTTGGGGCTGTTCGGCGACACGACGGCTCCCATTCTGTCATTTCAGGGTCTTGCTAGCTGTGACGGGTTAAGCACATGGTGGCGCAGCAAGCGGGACGATGTGACGGTAATGTAGATCGAGCGCGGTCTTGATGCGCATCAATTCAAATCGTTCCAGAACATGACATCATCTCCCACGGACAAGGAGGAGCAGATGCGCCAACATTGCCCCAAACCCTGCTTCGAATGGCACGGATCTAGCTCGGCTGATGAGCTTAAATTATTCTTAAAAGACCCTGGATGCCTTACTCTCGTGTTCCTGCATTTATTATCATATCACATTATTTCCTGAGCATATTGAACATTCAAGACTCGGACCGCTACCAAGGCTAACGGAGACAACCCCGCCTTGACAACACCCAAACAAACCCAACAACACTGCTACACACAAGTACCACAACCACAAGGATTGTATAACTTCACACCACAATGTCTGCACCAGCTTCCGCAACGACCGAGATGCCCTCGCGCAGCTTCACCAACAACTCTGCCGACGAGGAAGCCGTCCCAGGGGAGGATACCTCGGAGGTAGGGCACCTTCATTGCACGTGCGGCTCCAAGTAGCTAAATTTGTACAGGTCACCAAGCTCTTCAGTGAGCGTCTACAGGCTTACAAGCATGCGGTTGCGTACCTGGAAGACTACGTGGGCGCGACGGAGAAGACAAACCACGCACATGGCAAGGAGTATGAGCGAGTTCTCAAGGTAGGACACATTGCGAAGAGCAAATGGGCATGTGCTAATAGCTTGCAGACGGTTAAGGACCCCTTGAAGCAAGGCCACCACTTCGATCAGTCGCTCGGCGGTATTGCAGGCATGTTTGAGAACATACGATCAAACACCCAAGTACGCTACCCTATCTTTCGGTTGTATCTTTCCGCTAACCCGTTGTTAGGGCATCTCCAACCAGCACTACGAAACAGCAAAGCAACTCAAGAGCGCTATTCTGCCCATCTTCGAGCGTCTACACACTGAGATCAAGAACAAGAGCAAGGAGCTGACGAAGGGCGCCGGCAAGGGCGGCAAAGCCGTTGACAAGGCGCGAGCCCATACTCAGAAGCACATCGAGCTGCTTGGTCAGCACACGGCTGTTTTCGACTCTCACAGCGGCAGCATGAAGGCTGCAGACGACCCTTACATTCTTCAGCGTGGTGTCATGCACCGCTTGAACAAGCAGGTTCAGGAGGAGAACAACAACCGACAGGATCTGATCAGTGTTCAGAATTCTTTCGCCCAGTTTGAGGCACACATCATCCAGACGATTCAGCAGGGCATGGGCCAGTTTATGCAAGTCATGAACACGCAAGCTGAGCACACCAAGGCTGCGTACGGAGACATGGTCGGGAACGCACAGCGCATACCACTTGACTTTGCAGTGGAACGGCTTCATCCAGCGCAACAACACCATCCTCATCGACCCGTCTGCCCCCGCAAGGACCGTGACACAGATTCAATTCCCCAACCAGAACCACCGCGCGACTCAGCCCCTCATTTCGGGCTCGCTTGAGCGCAAGGGCAAGATCATGCGCTCTTACGACACAAACTACTACGTTGTCACACCCTCCAAGTTCCTCCACGAGTTCAAGACTGATGACGACTTCGCCAAGGACCCGGTACCCGAGATGTCCCTGTACCTGCCTGACTGCATGGTCGGTGCGGTCAGTGGCCAGAAGTTCAATGTCAAGGGCAAAGACGTGTCGAGCAAGCTTGGCAAGAGTTTCTCCATGAGCCATGAAATTCAGTTCAAGGCACACACACCACAAGCCGCGGCCCAGTGGGGGGAGATTATCGCCCAGGCTGCCGGTACCGTTACCGCCGAAGTGCCGGAAGGAAGCACGCCCACCAGCCCCGTGGGAGGTGACGTGAGCCCTGTTGGACAGCCTGCCCCGCTCCAGACTCAAGGTCTTGAGACTGCGCCAGTGGGTTCTACACCTGCCAGCGCGGTGGCTCCGGCTAGTGCAGTCGATCCTGGCAGTGCGGCAGCCCCTGGAACTGCTGCTGCCCCTATTGAGAAGGTTTAGAGCGGCCTACTTGCATATAGTCGTGTTTACAGCACCGCTGGATCTTGCTACATCCTGAACCCCCTAATACACACCACTGATACCACAATCCGTAATACACCCTAGATAGCAGAATCCAATAATACTGTGCTCATTCTACCATAACCTGAATGATATCGAAATGCCTATCACATCATGCTCATTTCCATTCAATCCCACATCTGCCTAACATTCAAGTTCACCCTCTTCCCCTCCATCCACCCCTCCCAACCCTCATACCCCTCTCCTGGCCCACCCCCCTAAATACTCCGGGACAACTCCCCGCCACAATCTGCGGCACGCCATGCCACGCAAACCGCGACGCACCAGACATATACACCGCGCTTCCGGACCTCAAGCGCAACGTTAACACCTTGTCGTCATCCGTGCCAATGACGAATACCGCGTCGCACCCCAGACTCAAACTGATCAGCCCGTGAGATGAAGTCTCGGCGACGTCCCGGTGCACGCTTAATGTGTCGCCGGGCGAGTACAAGTTTACGATGGCGGCTTGGGCGCGCGTGGTTGTGAAGATGGACTCCAGCATGTTCTTTGTATCTGCTGGAAAAGGCGGGGGAGTGGCGTCGGGGTATTTCTTCGCGGTCCAGTCGTACTGCCCACCCAGTGTCGTCCAGCGGAGTTTCTTGTTGAGGAGTTGGGTGATGCTGAGGGGTTTGTGGATGCTTGGATCGAGGGGGTGGGCGATGGGGTCGCGGGAGGATGGGGGGAAGGAGAAGAATGATGAGTGGGATGGAGGGTAGGTGAGGGTGTAGTGTGTGTGGATGTTTGTGAGATGCGCTGGGGAGGAGAGGTCCCGGTGGAGGAGGCGGGAGAGAAGGAGGAGTTGGATCTCGGGAGGGAGGAGGGAGGGGAGAATGTGGAGACCTACCTGGTGTCAGGAATGGAGTGGGAATCTGAGATGTGGTATTGCGAGGTTTCTTACCTGGCATGTCTTCATGTTCGTAGATGGAGATTTTGGATGCAGATTCTTGAGGCAGACTATCTGTACATGCATCCGCACCAGCAAATGCACGAAAGGTTTCGGTCAGATCTGCGGCGTCCAGTTCCCTCACTACGCGTACCCCTTCAGGAAGACAGTCTTTAGATGTTTGGGTCAGATCGACAAGGTCGGCATCTGTGTCGAGATCCTTTGCCTTCATCTTCTGATACTTCTTGTAAACATTTCGGATATTTTCAGGCGGACGTTGATGAGGATCAAGGCCCTGCATGCTGCCTGTCATACCAATCTCTACCCGTGGACTGTGTGAAGTGTCATGCACGTGATGTGGAGGGATAATTGTGAAAGCGCGCTAAGCTCGCGTCGTCGGCTTGTTTGGCTTAGCCTGATGCGACCGGGGATGTACTGTTTACTGCATAACATCCAAATCGACCACTCCCTGAGCCCCGCCTTACCCGCGACACACCTTCGACGACTAACCCACAGGACCGCTCGACCCATACGCTGCAGCTTTTTTGCGAAAAGGACACCGACACGCTCGTGCTTCAGGAAGAATCGCCCCCCAACGCCGCCAGACACGCCAGACCGCCTATCGTCTGAAGAGCTCGACGCTCGTTTTTCGACACCATGGAGAATTATCAGAAGATGGAGAAGATCGGCGAGGGTCAGTCCACCGTGCTGAGCGGCTTTCCTCGAGCATTGCGCCCATACTGACACGGGTTGCTAGGCACTTACGGCGTCGTGTACAAGGCCAAGGACCTGACGGCAAAGGACGGGCGCATTGTCGCCCTCAAGAAGATCCGACTCGAGGCCGAAGATGAGGGCGTCCCGTCGACCGCCATCCGCGAGATCTCGCTGCTCAAGGAGATGAACGACCCCAACATCGTGCGCCTGCTCAACATTGTCCACGCCGACGGCCACAAGCTGTACCTGGTGTTCGAGTTTCTCGACTGCGACTTGAAGAAGTACATGGAGGCGCTGCCAGTCAGCCAGGGCGGTCGTGGCAAGGCGCTGCCGGAGGGCACTGGTCTTTATGGAAAACCGCTGAACATGGACGAGACCATGGTCAAGAAGTTCATGATGCAGCTGTGCCAGGGCGTGCGGTACTGCCACGCCCACCGCGTCCTGCACCGCGATCTCAAGCCCCAGAACCTCCTCATTGACAAGGACTTCAACCTCAAGCTCGCTGATTTTGGCCTTGCTCGCGCGTTCGGTGTCCCTCTCCGCACATACACCCATGAGGTAGGACGGCATAGAACCGCTGCATGTGAATTTGGCTGACATGCTGCAGGTTGTCACACTGTGGTACCGCTCACCGGAGATTCTCTTGGGTGGCCGACAGTACTCTACCGGCGTCGACATGTGGTCTGTTGGCTGCATCTTTGCCGAGATGTGCACCCGCAAGCCCCTGTTCCCCGGCGACTCTGAGATTGACGAGATCTTCAAGATCTTCCGGTATGTCGGCTAGCAGATATCTGCATTTCCTCTTACTAACTCCACCAGCATCCTCGGTACGCCCAACGAGCAGGACTGGCCCGGTGTCACCTCCTTCCCCGACTTCAAGCCCTCGTTCCCCAAGTGGAATCGCACCGACATCGCCGCCATTGTCACCAGCCTCGACGATGTAGGCCTTGACCTGCTCGACAACTTGCTGGTCTACGACCCGGCTGGCCGCATCTCGGCAAAGCAGACGGTCCTCCACCAATACTTTACCGGCACTGGCGCCAACGGCTACAGCAATGGCTACCACTAGCCGCCCGACGTCCCTGGTGGATGCTACGAACGTTACGGAATCTTCATGGGAGCATAATTGGCACGGATTCACGGTGCAGCACGAACACAACTAGGGATCGTCCTTGCGATGCGTTCCTTTGTCTGGATAGGACGGGTTATACCCGAACGGTTGCTAAGGGGCGTTTTGGCTAGATCATGTCGCGGATAGCTTCCTGACATTTTGAATGAAGCTCATATAACACACGCACTTGCGCTTCCAGATTTCATCTTTTGACGTTGTATGTTCTCGGTGCACCTTTTGGTGTTGCACGATGTATGACGCAATGCGGCTCAGCCCTACGAGGGGCCCTGCAGGGACGCGTGCCGACGCGATCTAGTACCATGCCGCTGCCCCAAGATACCCGCTATTCGTTCTACTTCCATCATCGGCCATGACTTCGTCCACGCCAAAGTTACTTCCTCTCACAAGCGGTCCTCGACTAATCGTATACCACCAGACTATCCACGACCCTCAGGGCAATTACCACTCGCTTCTACCCCTGCTCACGAACAACACTGGCATCACACATGTCATTGTCGCCGCCATACATCTCAACGAGGGGCCGGGCAACATCACGCTCAACGACCACCGCCCGGATGACAAGCGGTTCGACCAGCTATGGGGCGAAGTAGCTTGGTTGCAGGGTAGCGACGTCAAGGTCCTAGGCATGCTGGGTGGTGCAGCAAAAGGCTCCTTCGAGCGCCTCAGTGGGGACGATGAAAGTTGTACTTTCCCCCCCCCCCCCAC